CAAGGTTAATAGTAAGGTCGGTAGATTAGTATTAAGGTAATTCGGACGAGTCGATCGCTAACACGATATATTAGTATATTTTATACTAATATAGTAGGTTTTCGTCCACTTTAATACTAAGCTCTCTATTTTAAGTAAGTAAGAGGACGTAGATAGCGGAGATTATCTTTTTATAGTCCTTCTAGAATTATTCGTCGTCGACTAGCTATACTAGGTTCTATTATAGTAGGTACATGCGCTAGCCAGCTATTTTCTAGATAAAGTCTAGTTTTAGGTTATATTTTTCGAGCCACGGTATACCGAGAATTATATTAAAGGGACTATCTACCACGATAAAGGTTAAGTAGTAGGGTTTCTACTTCCCCCCGCTGTCCTAGATACCATATTTAATAGTATAGATACTCTATGATTTAATAGGACCGTCGATACTATAGAAGGTAGTATCTATTAGTACTTAAATATTAACGTTAAGTTCTCGTACTCGTTAAGTCGATATAACGTTAGTAGCTAAACCGCTATTAAGTATTATAGTCTAATGTTATCCATAAGGGACCTTAATAGGTCTAGCCTATAGTTTAATATACTAGTTAGCTAGTTATCCCTCTATTTTAGTTACGTCTATAAGTCGCGAGGGTTCCTTATAGATAGTTAGTTTTTTATATTATATACCGGGTAGTTAGACACGATGTATCCTAGCTACTAGTACTTATAGTATATAACTAACTTAGTATCTATATTAGTATTCGGTGGTTTCCCTAAGCGGTACTTAGGTACTATATAGTCTATTCTACTATAGGTATAGTAGGTGACTTTAGGTTATTTATATAAGTCGTTTCTCGCGTCTCGATATATTAACTAGTAGAAAGATCCGTGGTACGGGCCTCGTCTTCTCGAGTTCGTAGAGTGGTAGCACCCACGAGGTATTCCGCGCGATCTATTACTAAACCGGTCCTCTTTAGACGATTTTATATCGGATTAGATTAATAGAGATAGTCATGCGTCTATATAACCTTAGTTATTTATTATACGCTAATATTATTCTACGAGATTCGCGAGTACCTAAAGGTTAGTAGAGATAGATATTATAAGGTCGATGCGTTCCTTTACGCTCGGGTTAAGGGACCTTTTAAAGTTATCGTATTATCGAACCATGCGATCTTCCTTAGCTTCTCTCTAAAGAGGTCGGAGGTATTTAAGGAGTTATAACGGGGATTATCTCTCTCGCTATTAAGTCTTAAAGATATAGCTCTAAGTCTATTCGTGTCGCTTAGCTCTATCGCCAAAGTATTAAAGAAGGAATTTAGTAAACGTGTCCTAGTTATACGTATCCTTAGGGTGTTTAATTCGATATACTATCTAACGTTTAGATAGTATTAGGTCTAGGTAGTTCTATATAAATCTAATCTTATTACTATCGTTCGTGAATAGATAGAAGAATCAGCTATACTAATAAGCCTATTTATAAAAGCTTCTCCTGGTTTTACCGTCGAAGTAAGGTAGTTTCTTAGGCTAAGGTAACTAGGATAGTAATAGACTTAGTTAGACTATTTCGGCTTAAGTTAATCTATATTAGTATAGATTAGTTACTACTAGTACTAAAGCGCGTAGTACGGCTTCGAGTCTAGCGGTTTATCCTCGCGCTTTATTAAGTTTATAAAGTTACTACTCGAGCTAAGCCTAACGCTACCTCTCCGCGTATAGCTTAGTATATATATTATTATAAGGCGTGGTTAACGTTAGTCGGTTCTAACGACTTAATTCATTAATATTAATAGGGTCTAGTCTTATAGTAAGGATGGGTCTAGTATAGTATAAACTAGACCGCGATAGAGTATAATGGACTCCTTCCTTATTATCTAGGTAATCTTCCATAGTTATACGGAATACTATACTAGTTATTAATATAATAGCCTATAGGGTATACTTATTAGTAGAGGTGGTTATAGGGAGACTATTCTCTTCGTTTAGATTTAGAGAGAGTCTCTTATATAAGGTAGTGCTACGGGTATTATAGCGCGTAGTAGAAGCTATCTCTATAAGCTGCTATCGTGCTATATAGAGAGAAATTAAAATATAAAGAGTAAAGACGTAGGATAGTAGTCTAATAGTTTATAGAGAGATATAGGAATATATTTATAGAGTAATCTTACTCTTATACGAGGTTGATTTCTAACGAGTAGGAATCGGTTTATATGGTCTACTTATATAGTAACCTTACTTAACTTAGCTAACTTAACCTAGCTCTAGCTACTACGTGGCTACATGGATTAGAATAGTCTATATAGGTCCGTTATAGTTCCCGTCCTAATACTTACGATCCTTAATCCGGTCCTTATTCTTATCTCTATCTTTATTAGAGTTATTATAGTAAGTCTCCTTATTACTACCCTTATTATTAATATTAATTAGCGCCTTAATAGTATATGTAAGGAGGCGGGCTCCACGCACCAACCAACTACACCAAAAGGACCGAATCTTGAAGCTACTACTTCAAGGGTGGAGCACACTACTTATATACGACTACTGCACACATGTATAATCAACTAGCAGGCACGTGCCTGACAGTATACCTAATTATTCGTAAGTAGTGGCTAGTAGCTACCATATCTCTAAATATTTACTTAAGTAACTTAAGGTAAGATAGACCTTTACGTCTAAACCTTCTATAATCCTTATACTTAGCGAAGTATCTATCTATAGCCTTAGAATCCGTCTAGTATATCCCTAGTCTATTACTCTACTACCATCCTAATAGCGCGTTTAGGTGCTTATTCTATAGCTTAAAGGCTTTCTTCTAGGTACCGAACTTCGACTTTAGTATCGCGGTAGTTAACTTAAATAGTAAGTCCTTTTCTATCTCTATTTCTATAGCTATCTATATAGTCTTTAGAAAGGTTCTACCACTACTTTAAAGGCTAAGTTTCCTTAATAGAAAATTATAGAACTAGACCTTAATCGCCGGTGTCGTCTATATCCGCCCTTTATATTTTAGTTTCCCTCTACTAGATACTACCCTCTTTAGTAAAGAGATAGACACCTATAGATCTATAGTATTACTCCGCCTATATTTTAAACTAGATAATAAAGAGTTAGATAGTAATTAAATAGTATTAGTAGATAAGGGCACGTTAGAGTCCTTACTACTATCTAGTTACTACTTATATAAAAGTATACTTTTTAGTTTCTTAATAGATTTAGATGATTTAGTACTTATAGACGATTTATCTACTAGTAGTAGAGGGTTAATAACGTCGTTAGGCGTATATATTACTATTTTTATACCTTAACTTAGTATATAAAGGTATGACTTTATTTTTAAGGTTAGAGGTATAGTATATATACTACCCCGCCTTAAGGTTATATTACTAACTAATTACTAAGTAAGCTAACCTTTAGCCAGATTTCAAATACCCAGTCGCTCTAGAGGTTAAACTAATATAAGACTATTAACGGGTGGCATACGGACGCCGTCTATACACTAGTAAATAAGGTTTTTTTAAAGGTTAAAAATCGACGTGAGTTTTCAAACACCCCCTAATTATTATGTGATCCATCATGCGGACAAAATGTCGTGGTCGTCGTCTTCGGATTGACCGGGGTCCGAGTTTAGGGGGAAAAGAGAGGCTTGGAAGGAAGGGGGCGTGAACGGGTCGTGAACGGACTGTGTGTAGTAGTAGGCAGGGCAATAGTCAACGTTGACGCCACAGAACAGCTTCGGTCGATTTAGGATGGTTGTGCGGTAGGTATGTATGGTGATGTGTTATTTATAGTGGTGGATGAATGGCAAGAGTATATGTACAAAGAACACTGAGGTCGTAGAGGCGTGACGCACGGGCAGACAATTAATTAAGATACTTGATCCTCCCAATGCAATGCAGCTCGTTGTCGTGGTCAAGAATGAAGATGAATGACACAGTGGGCCGGATGGAAGGTTGGAAGCCAGAATAATTGGGCCAGGCTTGACTGCATATAGTTTGGCTGGTGGGACATGGCGCGGAGGATGGCGAGATGCGATTGGACAGGGCGAAATTGCATCAACTGTCTCTCTCTCCGGCTTATTAGTTGGAGTCGAGGCGAGTTGAGTGTTCGAGTGTCGCCTGGGAACTGTTGGAAGAAAAGAAAGAGGCGGCTGGCAGGGGAGGAGGAGGCAGCTGGGATTGCGGCTTTGGGGGGGGGCGTTTCTATGCCCATTGCCCGCCTATTAGCTGCCACTTTAGGGGGCGACGGTATACAACATACCTGCCTGTGCACTGTCGAATACGCCCACGCACGGCAGTCAACCCTACTTACTACACACCCACACTGTGTCACATCCACACACACACCACACACTCTCACACTCTCTCTCTCTCACATCTCCCTCACACACTCTCTCCCTCCCTCCTACATCCTCGTCCATTCACTCTTTTCGCTCTCTTCTGCTTTGCTACTTGCTTTGTTCCATAACACACATCTCTACTGCTTCTGCTTCTTTGCACAGTCACTCGTTATTCAACAACATCACTCAGAAAGAAGATTCCCTTCTTTCCACTACTGCGCCTCGCTCGGCCACGCTTCTTTCTGTCCATCTGCAGCTACTACCACCACTACCTAGACACGCTATCGCTTTCTCCCTTAGGCCACGTCTAAAATCGCTGTCTTTTCCCGCTGCCGATCACCACCACCACTCGCTTTTTTCGCTTTACTTGCTTTGCTCCTTCACTCCAATCGCCCGCCCCTGCCTTCACACGCTAATTCACTCCCTCCTTCTAGAGCGGCAGTCCGTCATGTACTGCTGCTGTTCACTGTCCTTCTGATCCGACTGTCCTTCTTCGTCCCTCTCCCACCACCCCACGAGTGCGACGACAGGCCTACACCACTTTACCACGGTAGAGTTGGTAACCCTCCATCATTTCTTCTCCCTCTCGCCGCCTCCATTGTCGTCCGGACATTGGGCCATGAGGAAGCTCTCCTCGCGCCTGGCCTCCAGGTCGGCCTACTTTGCGACTACGACTCTAATATCCATCATCGCCCTATCCTCTCTTCTCGCCTCGCCCGTCGCCGCCTTCAACTTCACGCCCGCGCCCTCGTCGAACCTCAGACTCGATACCCTCGGTCGTGTTGCCTTCGCCGGTGACTTTGACGGTCTATCGCTCTTCCAATACCTCGAGCAGAATGAAGACAGCTACTATACAAACGGCTCGCAGTCGCTGCTGTCGCGCTTCCCCAATGGCGCCTTTGCCTCCATCTCGCTCGCCGATGCGCACATCAAGGCTATGTGTCCATACTTTATAAACGGTGAATTGCAAGGTCTGGTCGTCGGTGGCAACTTTACCAGCGTCGGAGGCATCAACTCGCAGGGCGTCGCGAACATCAACGTAGACACTGGCGAAGTCACTCCTCTTCCAGGCTTGTCGGGGAAGGTCGCTGCGCTATACTGCGATGACGATTCTGGCTACGTCTATGTTGGTGGTGAGTTCCAAGGTCTGAATTCGACAAACGCCATCATCTGGACCGGTCAATGGACGAATATGCCTTTCCAGGGCTTCAACAAACCAGTCACCTCCATCATAAAAGCTTCAAACGGCAACTTTATCTTTGGTGGTGCTTTTGACGGTCTTGGAAACAACAGTACTGGCACAAAGAAGAACGATACCCAGGTCATTCCAGTCGCGTCCGGTCAAGTCACTGCCACGAATTCCATCCAGCGCGACGGCTTTGGCGATCCTCGCAACATCATCTGTAAGACTGCAGATTCTGATGGTTCTGGAAACACTTGGCTTGCGGCCGACAACTCGCCCGCTACCTGGCAAGACAACTTCCGTTTTGGCTTCCAGCCATCGCTGCTTCGTCTGTACAATACCAAGATCGAGGGACGAGGGACAAAGACATGGCGTTACACTGCTCTGCCTGACACCGGCATCATGAACTTTACATACATTAATAAAGACGGCGAACGGGCTTACTGTGACGCCACCTGCCCTCTCCCGGAAGGGAACACGACCGCCCAGGACTTTGAATTTGTCAACACCATTGGCATGAATGGCTTCCGTATCGACATCTCCGACTGGTATGGCCCTGGCGCCGGCCTCGCTGGGATAGAGCTGTTCCAGGACGACATTTATTCTTACGCCATCAGCAGCTTCAACGAGCCTCAATGCGACGACGTCAGTCCCGCCGCTGCCACCGCCACTGTCACAGGCCCCTGGCTAGTCTCCCCCTCAAACGCCAACACCAATTCCGACTATCTGTCCATCCGAGTCAACGACACCATCTCTGAACAGTCCGCCGCCGGTGTCAGTGTCCAGTTCAAGCCAAACCTCGAACAGTCTGGAAACTATTCAATCAAGCTCTACACCCCGGGATGTATCCAGGACAACACTTGTAGCTTCCGTGGTCGCGTCTCAGTCTCCGCCAACACTGGCTCTGACACGCCCGTTACTGCTGAGCTTGCGCAGACGAACAACTATGACAAGTATGACGAAATCTTCAACGGCTTCATCGATGCCAGCTCCCAGCCTTCCCTTACTCTATCGCCAACTGCTGGTCAGACTCCTAACCTGGGATATCTTGTCTTTGTCGCACAGCGCGTACGATTCGAACTGATTGCGGCATCGACTGGAGATCTGCAAGGATTGTTCGAGTACAACCCCAATCAACAAACTGTCGATATCAACAAACTAGACTCTTCCGCTATCAACAGAGCCGGACAAGGTCTCACTAACGGTGCCATCGTAAAGGAGCTTGCCATTCAAGGCGATGATACGTTTGTTGGCGGTAACTTCACGTCCGATGCCTTTAGCAACATCTTCAAGATCAGCGGCGGCAATGCTACGAGTCTCTCGCAAGGCGGTCTGAACAACGAGGTCATGACCTTCTACCACGATGATACCCGGCTATTTGTTGGTGGCAACTTTACTGCTACACGAAACGGTGGCACGGCTGGACTGAACGGCATCGCCCTTTACTCCATCAACGACGACTCTTGGACTGCCCTTGGCTCAGGTGTCGACGGCATAGTGCAGTCCATCCTGCCACTGCCTCTCAATCTTACCGGGGACCAGCCAGAGACATGCATTGCCGTCAGTGGTCTCTTCTCTAGTGTATTTGCTTTCAGCAACAACGCCGCATTTGATGCTCAGGGCTTTGCCATCTGGGTTCCTTCCGTCTCAAACTGGCTACACAATACCGACTTTGCGACAATCTCGTTACAGGGACGCCTCGACACCATGGCCAACGTTCCCAATTCGTCCCCATTCTATTCCGGCTCCGTGTCTTCCCAGGCACTTGCTGCGTCCGGCGCTGTCGGCCTCCGCGATTCAGATGGTTTACAGCTACAACAACTGCCGTTCCGTCTGCACCCAACACCTTCTTCTCAGCAAGCTTCGCGCAAGAGAGCTGCCACCATCAACGGATTGAATGTCACGGGCGCTGCTACCGGCCTCATCTATGAAGAAAACGATCTGAATTACACCATCATCGCTGGAAATTTCAACGCTCAAGTCGATGGCACCAACATCACAAACATCCTCATAGTCAACGGAACAGACTCTGTCACGGGTTTGCATGACGAACTTCCGTCGGAATCTACCTTTGTGACGGTCGGCATTCAAGACAGGAACGGCGCCGCTCTACTTTTCGCCGGCGGTAGTGTTACTGGAACAGTAAACAACGACAATGTCAACGGTCTTGTCATCTACGATCTTCGCGCCGCAAAGCTTCACGACCCCCAGCCTGAAGGTCTGACTGCCAATGACAACGAGGCTGTCGTTCATGCAGTTGCTGTTCAAACCAACAGTGCGGATGTTTATGTTGCCGGTGACTTTGAAAGCGCCGGCTCACTTGCTTGTCCTTCAGTCTGTGTATACAGCACTGACCTCAATCAATGGAATCGTCCTGGCGATGGTATCGGAGGCTCTGTCTCGGTCATGCAATGGACAACGGACACCGTGCTCATCATGGGTGGAAACATGACTTCCGGATCAAACAGGACTACCATGGTCACTTACGATACTACAAGCCGAGTCTTTACCTCTTTCCCTGGCGCAGATGCCATGCCCGGCCCGGTCACCTCACTAAGCGCAGCCAATGCCGATCGAACTCAATTCTGGGCTGGCGGCACGGCATTGAATGGGTCTGCCTTTCTACAAAAGTATGATGGTAGTCAATGGCAGTCGATCAGTCATCTCCTTGGCGAGAACACGGTCATCAGTGCGCTCCAAGTCATGCCGTTGACCGATGACCACGACAACAATGACCTGATGGAAGGCAACAGAGCCCTTCTCGTCATGGGCCAGCTCAACGTTCCCAACTACGGCAACGCTTCATCCGCCCTCTACGATGGCAGAACCTTTACTCCCTTTATCATCTCATCGAGCTCGCGCAACACTGGTGGAATCATCAGCCATGCCTTTGTGCAAAGAGATGACTTCTTCACCAGCGACGACGGGCACCTTGCTGTTGGTTTCGTTGTGTTGATTGCGCTTGCCATAGCTCTTGGTCTAATCGCTCTGATCGTACTTGCTGGCATTGTTGCTGAGCGCTGGCGTCGGAGGCGGGACGGCTACATGCCTGCCAACCAGAACATGATGAGTGGTGCCGGCAACATGGATCGCATCAGGCCAGAGGCTCTCTTTGGTACACTCTCGAAGAAAGATCCCTCACCGAGGATATGAGATGCTCAGCTCTATCAACTGTTCGATGAGCGACTACACACAAAAGGGATAAGGGCGTTTTTGGTTCTCTTTTTTTTTTAGCGCAACGCGCTGTTTTCCATTTTCTCCCTGTGCATCTTTGTGATGATCATGGGTCTGGGAGGGCATCTGCTGGCGTTTCCGTTTTCAAGACTTCTACGGAAGCTCTCGACGAGTTTTCCCCCAACTCGTCTTTTCGACAACATTCCTCTTACACTGTTCTGGCCCTGCAAACATGCAATACTCCCCCTTGTATATTTTCCTTTTCTCTTCTTTTCGCATCATCTCCTGCTGCAAAGCAAACCCTTTTATAACTGTAACGGGCTAGTGGCAACCCGATACGGTGTCAGTTGTTCGTTTGTGTGTCTGGTCGCTGATACCACTGATGCGCCACACTTAATGTGTACTTCACTCTTGAGAACTGGGGAGGGAGAGGTGCAGAGTTGTAAATAGCCCTTGTTTATTACGTAGAACTGCAATTGTGTCTGCATTGGAGGCATCATTACAGATGCAGGCCAGGAGAAGCTGGACGTAGGAAGTAGGGGGGGGGGAATAGGGAATGTGAAATGAAAGAGAAAATTAATACATGACGTGTACTATCGTGACGAGTACTAAGTACTAATAATTAACCCAGAACGGTTCACGTTTGAAAACGTATGAATGACATCTGGCTTCATGTCCCTGTTGTGTTTCGAGCTCGGGCTACTGGAACACCAACTGTGTCCTCTTTCCATCACGGGTGTCAGCGGATACAGTATGTGATGATAGACAAGGACTGCTTTGTGCTTTGTTGGCCAGTACTAAGAATTACTGCTATTAATTAGCGAGATGAATCGCCGCATTAACAAAGACCTGATCATAAGAATGCAGCTAAGCTGGAAGCGGGCGTAATCCATAAACCTGGGCCAGTAATAGCTTCTGCTTCCATGTGCTTCCAAAGCAGGCTTCGGCAACTACTGACAGTATGACTACGAGTTTGCAAGAGAAAGTAATGATTTTCATGGTGAATTGATGTGAGCCCGACGACACCGTGCTTTGGTAGAATGTTTATTGCTATGAGAAGCCTTTTCACTCACTGATGTTCTAAACATTTAACAGAAGAGAGTGTGGTTTGGTATAATAACTACTATGTACCGTTGCTGAGGGGAAGGAACCAGGGATCATTGAGTGGAAAGCTTGGCGTAGCCGACGCCGAAAGCTATCGCGAACTGGACACCTGTCTACTACATTCCGGGTCCGCACAACTTAATCTACTATTAAATCCGCCCAGCCACCCAAGATCAATCCTTCTGATCTCCATATCTTCCTCTTTGGACATCTCCCCTACTATCGTCTCGTTACATAGTAGACGATTGCCTGCAAGATGAGGTTTCAATCTGCTCTCTCTACTGCTCTGCCCGCTCTGCTTCTTGCAGGCGGTGCTCATGCAGAGGACCTGGAGGACAAGGTCGCCGACGCTGCCTCATCCGTCTCCTCGGCAGCTGAGTCTGCGTCTGCGTCAATCGTCTCCAAGCCGACGTTCACCGTAAGTTATTGATTAATGCTCACCTGTCCTATGGCGCACAATCCCAAGTACTAAATACCGGCCGCCAGCCTACCGTCCTAAAAGCACCCTTCTTTGAGCAATTCACAGACGACTGGGAGAGCCGATGGAAGCCATCGTCTGCGAAAAAGGAGAACGACAAGGAGGATTCCGAGGAGGAATGGGCCTATGTTGGTACCTGGGCAGCGGAGGAGCCTTACATCTACAAGGGAATTGAGGGAGACAAAGGTCTTGTTGTCAAGGACAAGGCCGCTCACCACGCCATCTCGGCCAAGTTCCCCAAGAAGATTGACAACAAGGGCAAGACCCTGGTTGTGCAATACGAAGTCAAGCTCCAGAGTGAGTATTGTCATACTCCTCGTCTCCGATTCGTGCTGACAATGCGCAGATGGACTCGACTGTGGTGGTGCCTACATGAAGCTTCTCCAAGACAACAAGGCTCTCCACGCTGAGGAATTCTCAAACGCCTCTCCTTACATCATCATGTTCGGTCCTGACAAGTGTGGTTCCACCAACAAGGTTTGTAGGAATTCGCATGTCCATTGGACCATTTTCACTAACTTGAAAAAAAAAAGGTCCACTTCATCTTCCGACACAAGAACCCCAAGACTGGTGAATACGAGGAGAAGCACTTGAAGAGTTCTCCGTCAGCCAAGATTGTCAAGACCACCTCCCTCTACACCCTATACGTCAAGCCCGACCAGTCTTTCCAGATCCTGATTGATGGCGAATCGGTCAAGAACGGAACTCTTCTTGAGGACTTCAAGCCCTCCGTCAACCCTGAGAAGGAGATTGATGACCCCAAGGACTCCAAGCCCGACACTTGGGTTGACGAGGCTCGTATTCCTGACCCAGAGGCCACCAAGCCCGAGGATTGGGACGAGGAGGCTCCTTACGAGATTGTTGACGAGGAGGCTGAGAAGCCTGAGGACTGGCTTGAAGATGAGCCCCTTACTGTTCCTGACCCAGAGGCCGAGAAGCCCGAGGACTGGGATGATGAGGAGGATGGTGACTGGGAAGCCCCCAAGGTCCAGAACCCCAAGTGCCAGGAAGCATCGGGTTGTGGCAAGTGGGAATCACCTATGAAGAAGAATCCTGAATACAAGGGCAAGTGGACTGCCCCGTACATTGACAACCCGGCCTACAAGGGTGTCTGGGCTCCCCGCAAGATCAAGAACCCCGACTACTTCGAGGACAAGGCCCCGGCCAACTTTGAGCCCATGGGTGCTATCGGTTTTGAACTCTGGACAATGTCCAACGACATCCTATTTGACAACATCTACATCGGACACTCTATTGAAGACGCCGAAAAACTGAAGGCGGAGACCTTTGACATCAAGATTGCCTCGGAGAAGGCTGAAGAGGAGGCTAACAAGCCCAAGGTCGAGCCTCCTGTCTCACCCTCTGATCTCAAGTTCATGGACGACCCAATTAAATATATCCAGGAGAAGGTGAACCTCTTCATCTCTATTGCCAAGGACGACCCACTCGAGGCCGTCAAGTTCGTTCCCGAAGTCGCTGGTGCCATCGGAGCCACCGTTGTGGCTCTCCTCCTCGCCATTGTCTCTCTATTCGCCTCCGGTGCTGCGCCCTCGAAGCAGCAGGTCAAAGACGCTGCCAAGAAGGCTCAGGACACCGCAAAGGACGCAAAGGACAAGACTGCTTCAGCGGTGGCATCTGGCGCAGAGACTGCAAAGGCAGAGCTCAACAAGCGCACTACCCGCTCGACCGCCTCGTAGGACGTGCAGCAGGCATTAATTGGGGAGAGATGAGTTATTTAACTGCGCGAGAGAGAGAGAGAGGAGGATATAAGACACAGGCGGCTTGGGGTATATTAACGTGGAAGTGAGCATGCATTTAAAACCTATTACCTGACTACTGTCTTCGGGCAGGTGCATCATTTTGGAGTGTCTGGGTGCTAAGGGTCTTGTATGATAGCGCATTGTTGTCCCCTTTTCCGAAATACAGTACACATCCTTACGGCCCTAAAGTGTGGTGAAGTCACGTGCGATCGGTGAGTGCGGCTGTCATCGGCATATGGGACCTCGGGACGTCTATATGTAATTACATCTAAACCCCACACATCGACGTACTGGCTGGCCAGAGCGATAGCGGACACTCAGCCGACTGTCCCCACGCTACTATATGCTATTCGCGATCTTCGGTGCAGACGCAGATACTAATACGTACTGCTAGTCAATTGGTCGCTTTCTGTTGTGCCTTGCGCACTCTTCTCTTCCCTTTCTCTCTTTGCTTCGACAATGATGGCTGCTCGTCGAGCTGCTGCACGAACAATAGCCTCTCTCAGCCCGCGTACATCCATTCACCCTCGTCGAGCTATCTTATCCGCCAGAATGACTGCTCCGTCCAGCTCTTCGACTGCCAGTGGAGCTCGTCGTCTCCATGCAACGGCAAACCAGCTTCAACCGGCCGGCACAAGTACTGCTCCCTCGACCGCCAGCTCCTACCCGACCTCGCACGAACAGATCCAGTCTCCAAAAGACACGACGAACTTTATCGACAACCAATTTGTCGAGTCAAAGGCTACACAGTGGATCGACCTCCACGACCCCGCCACAAATAACCTGGTGACTCGTGTTCCACAGTCGACGGATGAAGAGCTAAAGGCGGCTGTGGAGAGCGCCTCGAAGGCGTTCCCGGGGTGGAAGGGGACCAGTCTGCTTGCCAGACAGCAGATTATGTTCAAGTTTGTGGGCTTGATCCGCGAGCACTGGGACAGACTGGCTGCCAGCATCACGCTTGAGCAGGGCAAGACGGTTGCAGACGCCAAGGGTGACGTGCTCCGTGGTCTACAGGTCGCTGAGACTGCGTGTGGCATCACGACGCAGATGACGGGAGAGGTGCTCGAGGTTGCAAAGGACATGGAGACGAGGAGCTATCGAGAACCATTGGGCGTTGTTGCTGCCATCTGCCCATTCAGTGAGTGGACTTCACCCAGCGCGGTCGCTACGTATGAAAGGGCTCGACTGACATGAATGTCCAGACTTCCCAGCCATGATTCCTCTCTGGTCTATCCCCATCGCGACCATTACCGGTAACACCCTCCTAATCAAGCCTTCCGAGCGCGACCCTGGCGCCGCCATGATATTGGCGGAATTGTGCGAGAAAGCCGGCTTCCCGCCAGGTGTGGTAAATATAATTCACGGCTCGGCCAAGACCGTCGACTTCATCATCGACGAGCCGGCCATCAAGGCCATCTCCTTTGTCGGTAGCAACAAGGCTGGCGAGTACATCTACGCTCGCGGCTCGGCCAATGGCAAGCGCGTCCAAGCCAACCTGGGCGCAAAGAATCACGCTGCTGTCCTGCCCGACTGCAACAAGAACCACGCTTTGAACGCCATCGCTGGTGCGGCATTCGGCGCTGCTGGCCAGCGTTGCATGGCTCTCAGCACGCTTGTCCTGGTCGGCGAGACCAAGGAATGGGTTCATGATATTGCGGAGCGCGCCAAGGCACTCAGTGTGAATGGCGGCTTCGAAAAGGGTGCCGATCTCGGGCCTGTCATCAGCCCGCAGTCCAAGAAGCGGATCGAGGACCTGATCCAGAGCGCGCAGGACGAGGGCGCCGAGATCCTTCTCGACGGCCGCGGCTACAAGCCCGAGAAGTACCCCAACGGCAACTGGGTAAGTCACGCATGCGTGCTCTCCTGCGTGGAATATTCCTCACTGACGATACATCAAAGGTCGGCCCAACCATCATCGCAAACGTAAAGCCACACATGAAGTGCTACACGGAAGAAATCTTCGGCCCCGTCCTCGTCTGCCTCAACGTGCCGACCATCGACGACGCCATCGCCACCATCAACGCAAACGAGTACGGCAACGGCGCCGCCATCTTCACCCGCTCCGGCGCCACGGCGGGGCGGTTCCAGCGCGAGATCGAGGCCGGCCAGATTGGGATCAACGTGCCCATCCCCGTGCCCTTGCCCATGTTCAGCTTCACGGGCAACAAGAAGAGCATTGCGGGCGGGGGCGCAAACACGTTTTACGGCAAGCCGGGTATGCTGTTTTATACGCAGCAGAAGACGGTCACGAGTCTCTGGCGCAGCGAGGATGCGACGAGTCAGCGCGGTGAGACGGTTATGCCGACGCAGGTTTAGGGGCTGGGGTTGATGCATGTGAGTGTGTCCATATGTATATACATACATATGTGCTTCCTTCTCTTTGGGAACAAATGAAGAAGAAGAAAAGGGAGAAACTTGTGATCTGTGTTGGATGATCGAACACGTGTGGGTGTGTAGTGTATACATGCGATGCCGTCGTGCAAAACAGACCATCTTCTCTTCCGAACGAATTAGGATAAGACTATATATTTACCAACAGGAACACGCACGGCGCTCTGCTACCATTCCTACCATGTCTATCCCTACCACCTACATCTACACCTACTACCACCTTGCATGTAAGACGGTAAGTAGGATACCAAAGGAGTGGTCTAGAGTGGTTGTCTATAGGTATATGTGTATATGTGTATAGTGTATGTATCTATACCCCGGAGCCACCTACACACTCCTCCTCCATCCCCCTCTTCATATCCAAACATACATTCTCGTATCCAAACGTACATTCTTGTAAGCAAATACATGTCCTGTCTTCTACATTTCTACATTCTCCTCTCCTCTTACATCCTCTTACATGTACATACCATACACCCACTCACCCACTCGTAACAAAAACAAAAAGAAATCCTCAAAAGAAAGACATTGTATCAATCCCCCCTCTTCGATTCCCCATCCCCTACCTTCGCGTTTCCTCCTTTATAACTCCCCCCCTTAACTCCTCCCCTCCCTTCCCGTTCCCGTTCCCCCCTTAACTCCCCTCCTTTATAACTCCGCCCTTCACCCCGTCGTAACCCCCTCTCCCATCTCCCATTTCCCATCCCCCTCCCTCTAACATCAAACATCCAACATCTAACTCCCCCTCCGCACCCCCCTCCCCTCAGGAAACGGATCATACAACCCCCTAACAGCAGCATGCCAATCATCACACCGAAACCTACCCAGCCGGCCCGGCGACCCCGACCCGGATCCCGAGCCCGCAGACCCCGCAGACCCCGACACCGACCCCCGTATCATCCCCTCGCTCAGCGACGCGATAGACGAGGAAGACACGCTCGCCTTGTTTGGGATGGGGATTGGGATGGGGCGGGTTGTGCTTGTTGGTTTTGTGCTTGTGCTTGTGCTTGTGCTTGTTGGATTTGATTTCGCTGTTGATTTCGAGTTTGAGTTTGAAGCGGGGGCGGATTTCGGGTTTGAGATTGAGCTTGTTGATTTCGGGTGTGACGCAGACTTCGACACAGACTTCGACGCAGACACAGACGCCAACCCCCCCTTCCGCAACGACCCAGCCGAGCTCTTCGGCGTAGGCACAGCAGGCACCGAGCCCGGCGGTGCGCCGTATGTAGCGCTTATCGTGCGGTGGGTGTGCGGGCGGGACGATGAATTTGACGAGGTTGCAGATGCAGCCGCGGCGGGGTTGGAGGGAGAAGGAGAAGGAGGAGAGCGTGTGAGGTTCAGGGTTGTTTGTGGGGTTAGGGGGGCGGGGGCTTGGGAGGCGGTTGGGGTGGCGAAGGGGTTGGAGGGGATGAGGGAGATGTGCGAGGGGGAGGGGGGGTAGGTTCTTGGGAGGGCGATTGGGGGGGCGGGGGTGGAGGTTGTGGATGGGGTGGGAAGGGGGGGTTCTTCGTCTTCGTCCTTTGGTTCTTCGGGCTTTGTTGGGTCTTCGGGGGTGGACTCCTCAGGTTTTGGTTCCTCCGGTTTTGGTTGTTCAGTCTTTGGTTCTTCAGTCTTTGGTTCTTCGGGCTTTGGTTCTTCAGGCTTTGCGTCTTCAGTCTTTGCTTCTTCAGGCTTTGCTTCTTCCGGCTTTGGTTCTTCGGGCTTTGGTTCTTCAGGCTTTGCTTCCTCCGGCTTTGCTTCCTCCGGCTTTGCTTCCTCCGGATTTGCATCTTCAGTCTTTGCTTCTTCAGGCTTTGCTTCTTCCGGCTTTGCTTCCTCAGTCTTTGGCTCTTCAGGCTTTGGTTCTTCAGGTTTTGGCTCTTCAACCTTTGGCTCGTCAGGTTTTGGCTCCTCTGGCTTTGCTTCTTCAGCCTTCGGCTCTTCAGTCTTTGCTTCTTCAGCCTTTGGCTCCTCTGGCTTCGATTCTTCAGCCTTCGGTTCTTCAGCCTTCGGTTCTTCAGTCTTTGCTTCTTCAGCCTTTGGCTTCTTGGCCTTTGTCTTTTCAGCTTTTGGCTTCTCACCTTTTACCTTGTCACCCTGTGCTTCTGGCTTTGCAGCACCAGCCTTTTCCTCGTCCGCCTTCGCAACCCCCGACTTCACCGACGCCGCTCGACCAGAACCGGCAGACTTGACGCTGGACCCCAGCGCAGATCTCGCAGCCGACAGTAACCCAACACTCGAACCCGCCGGCGAGCCGCTCACCGACCCACCCTTCTCAGACGTCGCACTCGGCGGCACAAGAATCCTAGAATATGGCTTCACGCTCCCCGTCTGCGAGCCTGCCGCGCTCTCCGCCCGTCCACTCCCCGACCCAACAACGCTCTCCCTCGGCGCCAGCACAGCCGTCGTACCGGCGGCCACAGACGGCGCCCTCGACGCCACCGACACAGCCTTCTCCGGCACGATACTCTCCAGATCCAGCGTCCGGCCAAGCTCCTCCCGTCGTTCCACAATAACGTCGGAATCCTCATACAGCGCCAGCCCGCAGCTGTAAACACATCCCTTGTCATCCGCTTCCTCGTCCGTCAGCCTCATCTCCCGCGGCGTCGGCGCGCGCCGGAAGCTGGGGAATACGCGGAGCACGACTTTGGCGTCTGCATTCGCATGCGCGGGCATGTCAGGCGCGCAGCGGCTGAGGCTCACGTCGCCCTCCAGAGTAGCCGTGCTCGTGTCGTACGGCAGCCATAGAGCGGCGCCAGGAGGCGCGTCACCCATGGATGCAGTGATACAGTCGCGCTCCAGTCGCGCCAATCGCCACGTCTCTGCCGCTAGCTTGACGATCCGTCGCACGGCGGCATTGACGTCGCTCCGTGCTGCAGGCAGCGCGAACGGCTTGAGTGCGGCGGTGATGTCTTCCACGACCGAGCCTGCGACGCTGTTGATCTGTGCCTTTGCACCGTCGCACTGGAATGCGGCTGTCAGGGTGTGCTGGCGCCAGATGGCCTCTTTCTTTGTGCTTTTGAGCTGGAGATGGGAGCTCATGGATGCGAGCAGGGTGTCGGTGGCGGTGTCGGACCGGGGTAGGCTGAAAAGGAAGGGGGAAAATATGCGGCGGGTGAGGATTGTGGAGATCAGGTGGGCTATGTATGCTGTGCGAACGTGCTTGGCAGGGGGTGTGTTGGCGAGAAAGGGTGGGAGCTCCGAGGGGATCGTTGAAGTGGTCTCTGCAGAAAGATTTGGTGGGCAAGTGTCAAAGTGTTCGTTGGCGAGTTGCAAGGTGTGACGACAGAGTGTCTCTAGGGCATCTTTGCTAGAGGCTTGCAGTTAGTGATGAGAGCTCTGGCGGTAATTTACCAGGATCCAGTGGGCAAGGCCATGTAAGAGAAAAGATGAGCGCGTTCATTCAAGGGTATCGTACCTAACATCTACCGAAGAATACACAATAAAGGCCAGTGTCGATGGACCAGAAGGTATAAATGCAAAACACGGAACCGAAGACCAAAGCATCACTTACTAGTACGCATCCCCCTTGCTCTTGAGATCAGTAGTCACAGACGCTGATAGAAGTTTTGACAGCCGCTCTTTCTCCGACCCAAGAGTCTCTGAAACCAGGCGAAGCTCTGAGACTAGGGCCTCCAACTTGAGCTTATCTTGATCCCAACCCTGCTGTGCAGTTGCGAGATTCTTCGTCAGCTCTTCATTCTGCTGCTGTAGCTGCTGCCGCTCCGTGTCCCAGCCGTTCTTGGCTTGTGTATGCTCCCCTTCCCACTCATCTCTCATCTTCGTTCGTTCCACTTCCCAGTCTTCAACTTTCGTTTGGTGATCAGCTGCTGTCTGCTTCAGCGTCTCATGATCAGCGGCCAGCTCGTTCGCCCTTTTGATCGAGTCGTCGAGCTCGCCGCGGAGTAGAGTGACTTGTGATTCTAGCTCAGTCTTCGTCTTTGCAAACTGCTCTTCCAGCTGTTGGGTGTTGCTGTCATGGATTTGCTTCATTTCGTCCATCTTCTTCGCGAGCTCCGCTTCATGGTCTTTCTCCTTGTCAAGCAGCGCTGAGGCGATTGCCATATGCTGCGCGTCGGCTTCTTCCTTGGCCTTAATCTTCCACTCGTCAAACTCCTTCATCAGTCGCTCGCGTTCCTCAGGTATAGCCTTGTCCAACGATGCTTTCTCCTTCTCGAGCGCAGCGATCTGAGCCTCTGACTGGGCTTTAAGTCCTTCAAGGTCCTTGCTCTTGACTTCCGCCTCCCTGATGCGATCCTGCAGCCCTCTCTGCTGGTCTTGGAAGTTGCCAAGCTCGTGCCGGAATTTATCACTGTCTGCGGCATGTAGCGTTCGAGCCGAGTCCAAGTCCCTTCGTAAGGAGTATATGTACTCATACTGGTCTCTGAGTTTCTCATCCTGTTGTCTCAAAATTTCTTCCTGCTTGGCCTCGGCCTCGCGAATGCGTTCCTCCCGCTCTCCGAGCTTGCCCTGTGTTTCGTGGTAGCGAGCCATGAGACGCTGAATCTCAGGGATAGTGGAGGACAGCTGGCCAATAATCTTGTTTGCTTCATCGCCTCCTTCAAGCAGCAGCTGCCCCGGGACTGGAGGGGGCCTGTGCAAGAAGTCCTCGTGTACATTCCCGCGAGGACCCATGGTGTCACGATAAGAGCCCTCCATGGGCGAGTAAGAGTGTCCGGAGTGATAGGGAGGCGTTGGCTGACCTCCTTGGACAGGATGCCCATAATGTCGTTGGTTGTAATATGAAGGAGGTGGATTGTGCTGCCCAACAGTTTCTGGATAGTAACGATGTGAGTGATCCGGGATCCGTGGAGCTGGTCTTACATCAGGGAACGGCTGAGCGAAACGTGCCATAGGAGATGGAGGGACTGAAGGTGCAGGGGGAGGAGGAGGATTCTGGATAGAATCCTGTAAACGACTGGTACGTAAGTGTTCTCTCTCGCGTGTATCTGCTAGAACTTCTGCTTCCGTGGTAGTGGAAGAGCTACGGTATGACTTGGTTGAACTTGTCTCATCTTGAGCATGCGAACGAGTCCCTAGAGCTTTCCAAGCAGTACCAGCGTTGATTTCCGATCGTCGTTTAAACGAGTCCGTGCTTGAGGGTCTACGTGTTGCAGTGACTTGCGGGCCTACTGGTTCCGCTGGGGATACTGACACCGGAGCTATCTGCTGCTCCGATGCTGGCGCTGGAGTTGATGCTGAAGCTGGTGTCGGCACTGACTGTGACTTTGACTGCGATACTGGAACTTGCTGTGGCTGAGTCTGTGGTACCGGCGATGTTACTTGGGGAGGCTGCATAGCCGACACTGAAGCCTGCGTCACTTGTGGTTCGAAGTCTGCGGCCGGCTCTTTTGCGCTCGTCGAAGGCTCTTCTTTCTCTTCCTCTACAGTGACAGATTTCGGAATGATCGTGCTTGAAGGGTTCAGCGGAGGTCCATTTACAGATGTATCTGATACATCTGCATCGAGCTTTTGTCCTTCGTGAACCTCCGGCTGATCGACCGAGGTGGGTATGGATGATTCCAACGAAGACGTGGGAGCGACATCTGTAGACTGGGGCTGAGATATCGGCGCGTCAACAATCTCCTCAATGATCGGACCCGGTTCTCCCAATGTCTCCTCGGATATTGGAGTATTGTTTGACACAGGACTATCTTTCTCGGCGTCCTGTGCTGGTATCTCCGTGCTCGCTGCAGCCTGTTCGGCCGTGGCTTTCTTCTTGTTGGCTTTCTTCCCCATGATGTATAGAATTGTACGATTAGTGTAACAAGTCTCAAATCAGGCTATGCAACGCTTGGCAATGCAAATCGCACTTCAAAAACACAAACGCAAGCAAGCAGGCAAAAAATCAAAGTGTGAGTTGAATTGAAAAAAAAAATCCCCAAAGCAAAGCCGAGTCGTTGGGCTTAAATATATCACACTACGATGTCTCCTGCATGCACGCCCAGCGAAAGGTTGGACTGTGCTTGGGGGGGCCCAATGATAGCCTGCAACGAACGAGCGTCAAAGCCAGGGAGCGCAAAGGCAGACAGCTGGCAGATCCAGATAGGGCAGTCTCGTGACTCATGCTCATTATTGCGAGGGTGAGATGGATTTCTACTTTGCGAGCAGTCCTCGTATGATTTCCCAGCTCACCAAAGGCCTGCGCTGGGACAGCTTGCGTTCGTGTTCCTTCAGAGACAGTTCTCATGCTGCGTACAGTGATAGAGAAATGACTACCTTGCTCTACCATTACTGGCTTCATCCATGGCGGGTCGCGAGGCTGAAGCGATGCGTCTGGCTGGATTTCATTGTTGATGTTGACCGTGCTCACACTTCACAAGCCCTCGCCAGCGTACGTCGAATTCGTGGTTACTCGTGATAGGCTGGAGCCGGTGTTTGCTGCAGCTGCCGAAAACCTTCGTCCATAGCTGCAGTTAGGCGTTCTTGAAGCATGAACAGGAAGCGCTGCTGATCCTCATCTCAAAACAATCGTCGAAGCTTGTGTTGATTGAATGTGCTGTGGTGCAGGTGGCATGAAAGAGATGATCAGGAGCAAAAGTGTTGGTCTTCCAGAGAGACGTGGATATCTTACATATTTTACACCGCACCTTTCTGACTAATTATAATTTACCACTATCTTGGCATCCGCTACCCCTCCACCCACTCAAGTAAGAATACAGCTTAACTCTGCCCCGCGTGCGTGTGGGCTCGCTATCTTTCGTGTTGTGTGCAGGTATACATACCCTCCTTGTTTTCCGACACATACACTACGAACATAGCTACAATTGACCAGGCCAGCAAACATGGCGACCGAGACACAAGCCCTGCCTCCCAAGCTTATCATGTATTGCGGCGGTACTCTCCCTCTTTCCACCCTCCGCTGTCTCTCTCACTGACACCTGCGTAGTATGCACATTACCACCAGAAGTAGGCACGCCTCCCTCTCACACCTACCCAACGCCTCCCTAATCCCAACCCGCAGTATTGTGAATTTGGTGGTACCACCAAGAGATGCCAGGAGTGGCTGAAGACGACACACCCCGCCATGCACGAGAAGCTGTACTCGCAAGACGCCATAGAAGCAAACTTGTCCACGCTCTCACTCGATGCGCAGAAGCGCGCCGAGAAAGACGCCGCCAAAAAGACTGCCAAGGCCGAAGCAGCAGAGGCGAAGCAGAAAGAGCTGAAGGCCGAAGCTTTCATCAAGATCAAGCGCATCTCGCGCCAGAAGAACAAGTATGTGACGTGCGTACAAGGACTGGAGGCTCATAGCGTCGATCTGAAAAAGGCCGCGAAGGAGTTTGGCAAAAAATTCGCGACGGGGAGCAGTGTGACGAAAATCCCCGGTGGTGGCGAGGAGATTACAGTACAGGGTGATGTCAGCGATGATCTTTTTGATTTTCTGCAAGAAAAATATCCGGATATACCCGAAGATAACATTGAGTTGATCGAGGAGAAGAAGAAGAAGAGCTCAGCGGGCTGATGGAGATCCGGGTATTATGCAAGAATAGAGTAGAGAGGAGCGGGCGGATGCAGGAGTTCCGGCGTTGAAAATAACGATGTAGTATTGTCCATCGGAGCATAGCGCAATGGTATGCAAGATCGGGCGTAGACAGTTAACATTGCCCATGCAACATATGTGAATTGCAAAATAGACAGCCTTGACAAGTCGCGGAACGATTTTCCTCCTGAATGCCATGGGTATCTTCAATCATCAAAGGTTTACTCAGTCATCCTCAATATCATCATCACTTAACAGGAGGGCAGCCACCTCCTCTTCGCCAACATCCTCATTCTTCGGCTTGAGGGCATCTCTTTTCACCACGGTTCTGGGATCTCTGCCCTGCTCGAAGCTCAGTATGCCTTCCGCTATCTCTCCATCCTCTGGTTCCTCGTTTGAAGGACCTTCTATTCCTTGAAACGTTGTCACTTTCTCAAATTCCCGCGCTAGCCGATCGACCGTCGAAGAAGCCTGGTTCCGGTATATTTTCACCATATAAGGCAGTCGCTCTAGAAGCATTTCACATCGTGCAGAATTGCCACTTGCTAAGACGAGGGATCCCTCTACTTGGTCAGATTGCAGTGTTGAAGCAGGAAGGTCTGGGAACTGAGTACCGGCACGTTTCCATGTCTCGACTCCTCCGTTCATTTGTTTTGGCCGGAAATTGGGTGTTCCAGAAAACGTCAACAGAGTACCGTTCTGCGCCTTGTTGGTCCATAGATCCAATAGACCTTCTACTTCCTCCCGTTTTCGCCATAGACGCAAGGATGTCGGCCAGAACATTTGGTGTACTTCTGCTTTACCTGACGTGCTTACACCACGGAAGCTCATACCATGGGAGACTTGTCTCTTCACAGGGTGAGGAAGGTTAAAGAGTAGTCCACGGACAGCTACCTGGAAACTTATCTCCTCTTGTCGCAGATTGTCAAGGGCCGTGCCCTGGAACGTCCTGCGTGCAAACCCACTGGTACTGAACTTTTCAGGCGACAGAATATCAGCGTCTGAGAGTGCCTCGATACTACCATCCAACGAGTCTAGAGACTCCTCGTCAGACGGGCCGTTGCAAGAAGGGGCGTAGTTTTCGTGTAAGGCGGAAATGAATGTTTGTATGTCAGTCCCAAGCTCGTCCAGCATTGTGTTGACTTGTACCTCTGGGACTTTCGATCGTCTATGCTGCGGTAGATGCCCGGGTGGTTGTGCCAGAGTGACTCTTGCATCCGACTCCAGCCTCTTGTTGTAAACGACTTTTCCGACAGAGTGAAATATTCCTAGGGTGTTCTCTCTATGTGTCACCATTGTAAGAGACTCTTCTTCCATCTTGGTAAGTGGTATGCCCCGGCTACCCTTTTTCGTTTTGGCAAAAGAGACTTTACTACCCCATCCATCTTGTTCATCTCCGCGCAGACACAGGAACTCGAGAGACGAGATTGCGCTTCTAACATCACCAGCCTCAGCCAGTCTTTTGATGACTTGAGGACCTGGGGTCTTACGACGTCCAGACTGACGGGACTCCTTTATTACAACGAGGTCGAGCGCCTTTGACAAGATCGTAGGAGCTATAGGGTTGAATTCGATAATGGTTACGCTAGGATGGTTCAAGATACCCTGTCCAAGAAGACGGTGTGCTGTGAAGGTTTCGGCTGACACAGCGGTTGAAGATAGCAAAGTTTCGGATATGATTATCACGAGTGGTATAATGTTGTGCACAAATGATTCTGGGTCGCCAAAGAAAGAATCCATAGGGGGTGCGTTAGCGGCTAGATACTGATTGATAGATGAGCGGAAAGCTTGCAGTGCAGAAGAAATATATGAGATGTTTGTCGGGAACTCCTCAATCAGGATTGCCTGTTTGGGTGATTTAGTATCTCGAACAGGGAATTGCATTCCGGAAGAGTTCGCAATGTCGAGACTATGGAATTTTCCTGTCCTCGACATGAATTCCTCAAATTGAGAAGTTATTGAAACAAACCCGTCAATAGTCTGAAGAGAGTTCGTAGGATTCTTCCATTCTTGTATATCGAACTTGAGCTTTTCTGATAGAAGCTGCAAGGTGGTGGTCTTCCCACTCCCTGCTGGTCCTTTTAGTATCAACAGTCTTTTCCTGATCCGACCTTCGAAGACATCTCTCAGCCAAGTCTGCACGTCTACAACTTTTTTCTTGTGCACTGCTAGCTCGTCCAGACTTTTAGGACCGAATCTTTCCATCCATGGGCGGGTGTCTTGTCTTGAGAGCACCGGCACGATTGAAGTTGGGATCCGGCCACGATCGGTCTTAAGAAACTTTTGACCTGTACCAAGCGGAGCTTCATTGTCGATCCGAGCAGCGTTTGACAAAGCATCCCGACTTCTCTTCTTGACCGCCAAAGCAATAGCGGATCCGGCAACGAAACTTGATGGAGGCAGATCATCCTCATTCATTGAATCATCTTGGATGTAGTCTTCATCCTCGGTGGCTCGAACGGGTATAACGGACGCGGCGACCGCATTGGCAGCAGGTGGGGTAGTGCGATGCTGGTTCTGTTTTTGTGTTTGTCTGTTGAAGAACGAGTAAATGGCTTTATCCTTTGTCACTGGCTGATTGCCCTCCTTTTTCCTGTCCTTTTGTGGACTACTGCTGACGCTTTTTGTGGATGATTTTGGGGCAGCGCTCATTAACAGCGGATATGACGGTTCAGGCGTCACTATCTGCGGACCTCGTCGGATGTCATCGTTTTTTGATTCGATCTGTCCGTGTGAAGCCTCAGACCCTAAGATACAGCTTGTTGAAGATCGTATGTCTCGTGAGGGAGCGTGTGCGGGCACAGATATTTGGTCGTCGTCGTCATCTGAAGACAGTACAACCGGCCTTTTCCGGGTGCCTCGCGGCTTGACCATGCCGCTTGACTCTAGCTTCACTTCCGATCATCATCAGATTCAAAGTCTGGCAGCGTTGGATTGCGTGGACTAGAAAGACGAATGGATCTCAAGATCCCAGCAAGAGTCCTAATAAGGCTTCGGTTCTTAGGTAGCGTCGCGGTGGAGCGCACATGTAAGTGTTACGCGAAAGCACGTGATAACGCGTTACAATGTTGAAACATTGAACGGAGTAATACAATTGAGCAAATCTGCATAGATGTGGCAAAGAATACATGTTTGTTATTAATGTTCGAAACGCTGTTTCCATATAGGTATCATTGAGTCATTAAGCAGTAGGAATCATTTACACCACTTTACTTCAAGTATGAGACAACGAAACCCGTATATCGTTCAATTATCGTGAGCGCGTCAATGCTTATACTCGCTAAAATGCATCTTCAAATGGACAGGCCGTGGCATCATGTCCGTCTCTTTCGCATAAAGCACACCATCTACTTGGATCAGCAATGCTGCTTCCCTTGCCTGCGACCATAGTAGAGTCATAGGGGTTTGGCAGCGGTGCCGATGGTGCATTACCAGATATAGACACCGCCGTCCTCTTGGGCGTCAGTGGTGCTGGTGCATTTTCGAAGTTGATTTTCTTTCGATCCAAGGGTTGCCTGTTGCTTTCACCAGAGACTCCCATTGCAGTGCAGTTCAGGATATCGTGGCCACCAGTTTCGCAAATCTCACACCAAAGGGTCCCCTGGCTCCCGTCCACAGATGATTGTGCATCAGACTCAATCATTGGCTCTAACGGTTCAGACTTCAAATGATTTGTTTCACGCCAGCTCACTACAGTGCCTTTCGAGTCCCGTGCTGATGACCTTTTATCTTGTAAAGCAGTCCTTTCCGACAAATTGTTGCTGATGACCGAGTCGCGCTGATCAACAGTAGTAGTGCCTCTCAGACGCTCAAGCTCACGTTCGAGTTCTTCTTCTCTGTGAGATTTCCGCTCAATAAGTCCTCGAAGCTCCGTCTTTTCCCTCTCTGCCAAGTCGAGTTTAGATTGCATCGCTTTAAAATCCTCAGAATCCTTGGTGGATGCAGTAACATTACGGAGGGCTGGCGATGCTCTGGCGGAAGTATCCGGACCAGAGCTTAGCGAATGAATGATAGCCTTGAGCCCACGAATCTCATCGTCCCTCTGTGCGACTTCTCTTTGTCCATCTTGGCTCATGGGTCCGTCTATCGATGCATTCGCAGATTTCAAGGCAGCTGCAGCCTTTTCCCGTTCCCTACGAAGCTCTGATCGACCTCGCTCGACCTCGCCACGAAGGAATTCCACTTCGCCGCGCGCTTCAGCTTCACCTCTCCTAGCATCCTCCAGGCCTTCCTCGAGTTCCTGCACGAGCTCTTCCAGCTGCTTGAGTTGGGTTGCGACACTCTCGACATCCTCATCTCGTTCCTGTAGATCGGTAATTTCTTGCGTCAGGTCCGTCACCCGCTTCTCGTACACACGGACTGTTTCCGTACTCGCCATCTCCAGGGTATCGATCGTGCTCCTGAAGTCTGCGCGGTGATTATCAAATTCGGCTGTCAGCATCGATATCTTTTCATTCTTTTCCCGTAAGAGGGCTCGAAGGGTACTGATATCGCCGTCCTCGAGAGGCCCAGGATTTCGGCTGTTGCCCTGATCTGGAAGCATGTTCTGTAGCTCTGATATGCTCGACTCCATATCAGCCAAACTTGCTGCTTGTTCCTTCAGCTGTCTATCTCTTTCCTCTAGTTTCTTGTGCAACCTGTGGACTTCTTCGTCGGAATGGCTAGAATCGAGACGACTGCGAGGACGAAACGTGCTACTTGACATAGATCCATTACTCCCACGAGCTATGCCTGTAGGAGTGCTGTCGCAGTCTTCTTCGATCGGTGGGTGTTGGCCAAGTCGTGAGTTGTTTCTCGAGTATGGCCGTGATGGCCCAGGGGTTCGTGGTTTGATCATCCCTCTACTATTGGGAGCTGGACTTGACACATAGCGTGGAGCAGCACCTATGGCGCTTCGAGAGAAAGACGCCGGACTTGCATTTGGGCCTCTGGCAGGTGGAGGCGGCAAGTTAGGTTGATTTTTCCTAAGTGGTGACTCCGGCCGTGGAAGAGACGGTCTTCCTTTTGCCTTGAATGACGGACTTGGAGCACGCACCCCAGGACCAACTGATTGTGAAAATTTTGATAGCGATGGTGTAGGAGGACTGAGTTTATTCGATGATTCGTTGTAACTTGCACCTGGTGCAAACGAGGGAGTATTAGGGGTCGGTGGAAGATCTTTGCCATAAAGCGATGGCATTGGTGGCGCATCGCGCTTCGATGCTCGATGCAAAGGTAAGAATATGCCGGCACCAGGTATGGTGGTGTTGAAATAGAAGGTGCTGTGATGCTTTGCTTAGTCGATGATGCACGCTGTGAGATGCTCATACATACCCATCAACATCACCATCATTCTTCCCGCGCATTGCGAACTCCTCGCTGAGCTCGACGCCGGCGAATACGCCTTTCTTGCCACGGACGCTACCCACGAACTTAATCGTGCCGTGCATACCACCTGGCACATCGACGAGGTCGCCAACCTCAATGTCAATCCCCCCAGGTAGGTCGGGAGTAGCCATACCAGTCAGTGCATTGAGGGACGCTTTGCGAGCCATAGCAGTGCTGGCAGCAAGGCCAAGGTTCGGTGAGGAAGCTGTGTTGATGGCACTGTTCGCGAGCGAAGGGCGGTTCGAAGGCAACCGCCGTGGAGTTTGGTAGGCCATTTTTGCACTGGGCTGTCCAGTCTCCTTCACAGTTTCCTTGATTACGCTGCGCCGTGGGCGCGTACTTTCAGCAAACCAAAGACGCGGTCGCGTACAGAGGGTTCTGAGTGGTCCGCAATTCAGTGTTCAAGAACAGATCCAGACTTTGGTCAGCGTGAAGAGAGGAGAAGATCCGATGGCTTGTTCCTAGGATGTGTAAGGATATAGAAGGCGGTCAGTAGATGACGGTCAAGGGGCTGTGACTGCGGTGAGGCCTCGACCTTCGAGAAAATTGATACAGCTTGCATAACAAATCATAGCAACCCAAAATAAGGGGACAGCACACTAAAATGCCTGCGCCCAAAAGCATTGATCCATCCGGCCAATGCTCGGACCGAGCGTGTTTCTGCTGTGCGAACATTATGCTTGCTGGCAGGACAACTACATGTATATAAACATATATCACACGTCCGCATAAACTCGCGAGTAAAGATTGCAGTAGGCCATGGATGTATAATAGTATCTCTAAGTCTAGCTGTAACTTAAACGCACTGACACACTCATACTGTTTACCAGTTGGATCCATGCTGCTGCTCCTGATTAAGAGGCCGAGCAGCCTGAGCGCCCGCTCTTGCCTTCAAAAGGAAGGACCTCGGCAACACATCGTTAGCAGTAGCCCTTTTCCCTGTGCCTTTCGGCATCTTGGACAGCTCCATTAGAGGGGCTTACCTGGGGTAACAAGAGTTCGGCAAACATATAATATTGACACCTCCGCTTCCCCCAATCCTCGTGCTATTCAGCAGTCACAACCATGGCAGGCGAAGTGCGACAACCAATTGACACCAGGTCGTTAGAGCGCTACATTGAAGCAAATGTTCCAGAAATCAAGGTTCCGCTCAAAGTAAAGCAGGTATGCTGTTATGTACTCTGTGGAAGTCGGCGCCGGTCAGTAACGATGTCACAGTTTGGATATGGCCAGTCGAACCCTACCTATCAGCTTATCGATAAGACTGGCGCAAAGTATGTGATGCGCAAGAAGCCTCCAGGCAAGCTATTGTCTAAGGCCGCCCATAAAGTAGACCGAGAGTATCGCATCATACATGCCCTGGAGAAGACAGATGTTCCAGTACCAAAAGCATACTGCTTATGTGAGGACGACAGCATTGTTGGAACAGCATTCTATATAATGGAGTTCTTGGATGGGCGCATTTTTGAGGATCCATCACTTCCAGGCGTTTCCTCTCAAGATCGAACGGAAATGTGGCACGACGTCGTGCGTACACTTGCCAAGTTCCACACCGTAGATCCAGACTCTGTCGGGCTCCCAACATTTGGGAAGAAGTCGGGGTTCTACACCAGACAAATCGCTACCTTTGCGATGATATCTGCGGCTCAAGCGCAAGCAAAAGACAAGGAGACAAAGAAGCCTGTTGGCCAGATACCCCACTACGACCAGATGGTGGAGATATTTGGTAAGGAGGAGAATCAGCCAAAGGACAGGGCGACGTTCGTTCACGGCGATTATAAGGTGTTTGCATTGTTAAGAGAGACTATCCGTGATGCATACTAACGCATATAGATTGATAACCTAGTGTTCCATAAAACGGAACCTCGAGTCATTGGAATTCTTGAGTAGGTCTTCAGTCCTTGTGCGCAGCTACCATACTTATCCCTATTAGCTGGGAGATGGCTACAATAGGTCATCCATTATCCGATTTATCAAACCTTCTCATGCCGTTTGTTCTTGCAAAGTCGAGGCTTGCGGCGGAAATAGGCAAGGGCAACATGGCTTTTAAATCCGATAACCCTGATGGGCTGCCAGAACACGACCAGCTTGTACGATGGTATTCAGACGCTGCTAGATGGGATCCATCGCCTGATATGACCTTTGGTGAGGCCTTCAGCATGTACAGAGGATCCGTGATCTTGCAGGGCATTGCCGCCCGGTACGCTCTGCGGCAAGCAAGCAGTGCACAGGCCAAGGAATATGGAAGCAGGATGGCACCGTACGGAGAACTAGCTTGGGACCTGATACAGTTGTTCAAGAAAGAGAAGTCGTCGAAGGCCAAGTTATGAAAAATGAAGTCCCCGGTCTCGGAACAGGTCAGGGTCGCTGCTGGGAGAATTGTATAATGAGTGACGTGCTTTCATTGGTGTATGATATCGATGTTGGCATACCTTGGGGTATCTGCCGATGAAATATTAGGCAGCTGGATCTCATTTGCCCAATCCCATGAAACGCCTGTCTGCCGTTTGTCGTCATATGGCGAGTAACCATGACTGTCTAATGCTGTTGCATGCGCTCTCCTCGATCGTTGCCACCGATACGCTCCAGAGCCTAAGGCCCCCATTAGTGTGTATTCCACAATATCGTGGGCGCGATGCGATATACCTCAAGCATGACGACCGAATTTCCTCTTATGACCACCATACCAATTTTCACCTTCTCGCCACCAGGCTTCTCCTCCACAGCATCATCTAGGACGATGTTGAGAAAGACATCATAGCCGCGAAGAACGCCCATCACTCGTCTGCTCCCGTTGAGCTGCACGTATAACCTCTTGTCAAGGTACTAGGTAAAAGGCTGTAAGCGCGTTCTAAGCTAGGAGTTTTGCTTCTCATTACCTTCTTGAGCTCAGGCTGTGCTTGAGGCATCGTAATTATGTTGCAAGTCCGTAGTTGTAATCGTAGGTAGTGGCAGGCGCAATTGTCCGTTCAGGGTTGAGCGGGTGAGTTGCGGTGTTGGGTTGTTTGTGGTGGTTGTGGCTAAGAGTTCAGACGTGGTGAGGGATGTGAGTGATGAGCAGGCGGTAATAAAACAATTAAGGTAAATTACCGGTTCGTACTGAAACTTCCACCTCGACGCACCGTTAGCGCGAAAGGTCTAGAGGTGGCCTAATTAGTGGATGAACGACCGCAACGCCTTTTGGAGCAGGCCAACTTTCGGTCATTGACGCAAGCACATCCGATGTCAGCCAGTCTCAACAATCAGCAATCAACTATACATCCACTATGGCACTAAAGAAGTCTTTATCAGCTCGGCGAGTACCCCGCAAGATCGGTAGCGATGGGGAGCAGGACGATGAGGCAATACCTGCCGACCATTCTTCGCAAGGTATGACTTTCCCCCATAATCCTCCAGCACTGCTCTAATGTGTCCTGACAGATCGCTGATATGGTCCTTAGAATCCGCTGTAAAGAAGCCTTCCACCTCAGGGAAAGCGAAGAAGCGTTCGAGCCTTCGCATGTCTTTCGGTCTTAGCGAAGCCGACAACGAAGTAATAAACGAGCGTACACCAATGTCGATACCGAAAAGAACAAATTTCACCCGCGTAGCTACTGAAAACAAAGCCAAACGGTCTTCCATGTTGACTGAGCATCTTCCTTTCCGAGCAGACCTTTCAGAAGACAAGCCTAATTACAGCAAAGAGTACTTAGCTGAATTGAAGCAAAGTACACCCTCTGCTCCTAAGGTCGACTTGGTATTGTCAGATGAGGAGACACAGGAAATCCAAGAGCTTAATATCGCTGCAAAGTTCGGGTCCATGGCAGCCTTGGAATCGGAAAGGTCAGCCTTCATCCCGAGTGAAGCCGAAATACGCGAGAAGAAGGAAAGACGGCGGCGTCTTGCCCGAGAGGACAACTACATTGTCCTAAACGGTCGCAATGAAATAGCTAGTGAAGATGAAGAACTTACAGATGACGAGTTCGCACCTCGTAGGACAAAGAATTTTGAGATAGCAGAATGGAAAGACCAGCACAAATATGGCGAGACGCGTCTTGAACACGAAGACGAAGACCTTGCGGAAGGCTTCGACGAATATGTTGAAGATGGTGGTATCTCACTCGGACGAAAGGCGGAACGAGAAGCACAAAAGAAACGGCGAGCTGAGATGGCAAGCATGATTGCAGATGCTGAGGGCGGCTCCTCGGATAATTGCTCGGACGACTCAATTTTCGAACTTAATGATGCATACGAAGCTGCCCAAGCTAAAGCCGGCGCATATAACTCTCGTAGCGGTCTTCGAAATCGCAATGACGGGCGGCAAACTCCGCCAAGGATAACGCCATTGCCTAACCTCAAAGACGTCATGCAAAGGCTGAGAGACAATGTGAAGCATGTGGAGGAGGAGAGAGCCATGAAATTGAGACGACTGGAAGAGCTGAGAGCTGAAAGAGCTCAGGTCAAAGACCGCGAAACCTGGATTCAGGCACAGTTAAAGGAAACTGGAGATAGATACGAGAAACTGCGTGTTGAAGCAGGTATCAGCACTGTCGCGCTTACACCCCATGATACTGCGAATTCTGAAAAGCTTGCCCTTGGGCGCGGTCTAGAAAACTTAGGGGTAGGGCCGGTCACTAGTCAGATCGAAGACAGCGAAGCTTGATCCGTAGTATTCTCACAAGGCTTGCTGTTGGTGAAGCGAACTAAAAGGAGAAATACTCAATTTGAGAACGACAACAGGCGACTTGGTCAGACCAACGTGAGAACTAAATTTCGTGAGCACGAGAGCACGGCAGGTATAGGTGTACACCAATGTCTCATCATGTCATCTTGCCGGGATATGCACAGCAATTGATCGCGTCGTTGACACGAACGTCACCAAACATAGCGGGGCGACCTTCCAGGTAGGGATCAAGAACCTTCGATGCACATCATGCGGCTCTCAGCTGTTTCGAGATCCTCCCTCTACAACAGCCTCACAACTGATGCTGTCTCACCTCCCGCAAATTGTTCCAATATATGTAAGAGTACGGGCCTTTGTATTACGCTGGTTGGAAAGTTGGCCAAGTTCTTCGAATGTCGAACATCACCTATTTTCCAGGGCTTCCATCTTCGATGCTGCTTTCTTCGATGCTGCTTCGAAAATGCTGCTTCGAAAATGCTGCTTTGAAAATGCTGCTTCGAAAATGCTACCATTTCCAAATTCAGCGAGACGATGCTCGGCGCAATTGATTGATAGTTTGGTCCCAAAGCCGTTGAAAAGTCAAACGTGTTCGTCGACTAAGCTCGGACGTCGCCGCCTTATCTCCTGTTTCAGAGAATGATCCACGCATGATGGCCCTTGAGCAGTGCCTGGTCCTAGCATACCTAGTCGAAAAACCCCTCGCTTTTATCAAATCAGAGCAAGACCTTGACTGACGTCTCAAGGATCATGTCTTCGGGCTCTGGTGGGCTGATCAATTGGAGAACTATATGGACAAGACGTGCCCGAAAGAGGTGCAGTCGTGCAATCGTCTTTCCCTCGACCCAGCGTGTATCAAACTGCACCGCGGCTCATCTATAGAGACTGCATGCATACCTGTTCTGGAGCGTCTGTGTTGCCGTTGGCCATCAGGTTTTGACATATATATGTTCCCCGGCTGAACATTATACAATGGCGAATACCACTTCAGGGTATCGAGGCTCGCGAGCACTAATATCGGCTGTTATTGCCTCATTGAACCTGGGATATGTTGTTGGCTACAGAGTTGAAACCGTCGTCACCCTCGTTCAGACGACAGTCTGGATCAACACCCTCTCGGCCTACTCTGCTTTGCCTACCTGTGCGCAAACACCAATCAATAATGTCGTTAGAAATATGGAGAACGGATGTGGCGACGGGAATCGTCTTACAAGCTTCAGTTGCTTCTGCTCCGAATCAAGCAGGTACGTACACGTATTCCATTTATCGGGTTCCAGCCAGCTGATTTGTGTCTAAGCGCCTTCAACACAATCATATCCAGGGCCGTTCAATCAGAATGCGCAAACGATGCCGCCGTGGCAAACGACGTCGGCAATGCCATGAACGTCTTCGCCGAATATTGCAGACAGTCGCCCATCATCCGACTCGGCGCTGCTACAATAACAACCGAAATCACTGAGATCCATCAGACTGCAGCTCCAGCATCAAGTACATCCCTCCCAACATCAACCTCATTCCCCTCGAGCGGTATCAGCGCTCAGACACGAATCGCAATCGCCATACCGGTCGTCATTGGCGCTGCCCTCCTACTCCTTGCCATCGTCGCTGGATTTTTGTACCTTCGCCGCAGTCATGAGGGCAGGAATCAATCTCAGTCCTGGAATGATCGAACAACTCAGTCTCAAACCTGGCATGGTCGAACAAACCATCCTCAGCCAGGGGACAATCAAACGACCGAGTGTCAAACCTGGCATGGTCGAACGACCGACCATCATCCATTCGACGATCGGGCAACACAGTCTTCACCCTGGAATGACTCATATGCGCACCTAATTCCGCCAAAAGAAGTGGCAGGCATGCAGCGCTACGAACTCGCAGGCGAGACAGTCAAGCGACAGGAGCTTCCCGAGAATCTTGCAAAGGGCACTTTGCACGGGGAGGATAATTTCGTCCCAGAAAAGGCAGATTCGTCTGAATGGGAATTTACACTACCGATTCAGGAGCCTCCTTATCCACCGGCGGTTACGCAGAGGACGTTCGTCGAGGTGCATCACTGGGACATTCCGTCAGAAAGCGGACTGGATACGATCATCAGTCCGCTCGATGAAAGATATGGAAGAGGGGGGACTGGCACGACGTGGCTTACGGTCCCGTCGCCGCTGCCGCCAGAGTATTCATAATATTACAGTAGATATAGAGCTCATGTATAAAAGAAAGCTTATGGATTGCCTTTGTACAGATTGTCGATTGTATGTTCTATTTGGATGTGCTATGTATGTAATTCGGCTGATCTAATGATGTGTGCGTTCCGGCGTGTATGTACCATGCAGTCTGCGCGTATTCTCCGTGGTTACAATAATGAACTTTAGACTCAGGGAAACTGTTCTTATATAAACTGGTGTGAGCTTGGGTCTCGCAGGTCTGTGTAAAACCTCGTTTAATGTTCGGCGTGTCTGCAAGCTCCCGGGTCTAGTTCGCTACTGTTCCAGCTACATTTGGTATCTCATTGAAGACTAATAGAATTGAAAAGCAACGCCAAGGGCAAAATGAGGAGGGCTTGGATAAATGACAATGAAACCGCGCGAATATATATCGGAACATAAAAGAAGTCCCTGGGTAGTATTCGCTGCTTGCGTAGACCAGCTCCTATTTCCTCCGCGTGTAGGTTTCTTCATCTTTTAGCTATACATCTCGCTTCCATCAGATTTGCAACGGCGAGAGTATCAAACGGCACTGTGATAGGTTATGTCCATTGGGTGCCCATAGAGGACGGGCTCCTGGGCTGAATGTAGTCTATATGGTTGGACTAATGTTACCAAGTTATTGTGATGCATCTTGGCGATTCTTCCAATCTGAACAGCTCAAATGACAGGCAAGAGGCGGACTAAGGTCCATGGATCTCAGGGAATTAATTCAAATGCAGCTTACATGTCGGCTTCTGCTGGGTAGGCCTGAACAGTTCACTTGTCCGAACAGGGGGACATCTGGCTGTCTCCCCGCGGCATTGGGTCTTCTACAGTTGATTCATGCACCAGTCTAGTCAGGCTACAACTGATAATAGATGGCTGCACGTAGGTCTGGGTTTCAATGGCCTGATTTTGCGGAACTGCAGCAGGTTACATAATAAACAAACCACATTCCCTATCATCAAGAACTTCTGAGTCGTTCAAGCGAGAGGCTGGACGGAACTCACTCAAGACAGCTCTTGTGTGATTCAACTGGTATGTCGTGTAGATTTCTCGCCACTGGACTCTGCTCTGAGTTACCGTCCTGATATCTGACCACGATGAACATCTAACGCCAAGCTATACACATTTTAAGACTAACAACTCGAGTGTCCGCACTCCGGAAATAGTAAGACATAGGCATCTGCTGGCCGAATGTATTAAAAGCGGTGTCAAAGATTATGTTATCTCTAGGTGGCGATTACGATGGACACTAAGGAATGCCGCAGTCTTAAGAGGATTATCCTGCCGTTTCGTGAGCGCATTGATTTGTACCTAAGCAGAAACCTTGAGAGGTTAGGTGTGACATGGGGAAGCATTTATCTATATCGTGAACTCGTTAGCTTAGGATGAGATCTACGAGAGAGTGCCCCAATTTCTCTGGCTTTGATAGTCTCGGCCAGAGTCTTTCGTGACAACGCAGGGTTATTCAGCTTGGAGCAGGGCTATACTCATGTCCTAGACAGCTTTCTCTGAGAGCGCTCCAGTACCACAACGTATCAAGATGACATAGCGTAGCTGCCACAGAAAGTGGTAGCCAATGTATGTATTCTACCAAGAGTTCGTTTACTCTTATAGCCTCGGTGTCAGGTCACCATTTTGCGAGCATGTTGGCTAATAGCTTAAGTACCGACGTCGACATGGAAAATGAATACTTGCGGTTGACGGTTGACCAGTGAAACGTGCATAGCGATCAGGCATATAAATATCTGCTACTTCGATGGGAAGATGGTCATACGAAGCCATTGTGTCTCTTCCTTGAATCTTTGGTGATTATATTCCATCACCACGGGTTGGAGTGGAGGCATTGCCATCGTAACTTTCAGTGTACTCAATGAGGTCATCGAGATACCTTTGAAGCATATAATTTTTACCGGCGTTTTTCGGTCCTTTTTGAGACTCATCAACCTAGGTCAGTACCCTTACGGATATCAGAGGCTCGCGTTGAATGACTTTTGTCATAATCTTCAGTTCTCTCTCGGTATTCCCGCGTAGAAAGAAGTCAAGTAGAGTTTGAATATTAACTTAATAGTAGTATTCTATAGGGTGAATAAGTATAAAGTAAGATTCAATCCTTATATGTATGCTTCAGGGTTCCTGCAAAGCTTTTCAACCATGTGCCCCCTGTGGACCACTCTCTTCTGCTAATCGTACGATGGTTGGCATGCAACTCCATGTAACTATTGATTCGATCCGAAGAAATGGTTTCTAAATCCTTCCCTCGAGCGTAGATCTTGTGATAATACGTCAATATCGGTTCGGGAATTGCAAACTTCTTAAATGAACGTTGTGACGGTATTATCTTTGAAGTTAGTGGAAGAAGAAGACTGAACAGTTGCTGAGATGGCATTTTTCTCATTGAAAGGCCTCTCTTTCCTTGGATGTGCCACCCAATGTGCATCACCCGAGCTATATGGACGTTACCCGCACACACATGGTAACAGTGAAGTCAATTTTTGAACGAGGGTGGAGTCTTTATTGCATCCTCATATGAGAAAAATGCATACGCAGAAAGTTTCGTGCGGTGGTCATGCACTTGAAACTCCTAGTAGGTCATGTTCGAACACCTGTTATTGTGACGGTACCAGATCGATGTAAGGCTGATGATATCGGTCCAATATACAAGATGGAACCGTGAAACTTGGCTGAAGGCAGTAAACACTCACTCAGAAAGCTAATTCGTCCTCGCTACTACCTATAGTCTCAGGGGAATACACACGTGCAATCAGTCTTGGAGTGACCGCCTTCCTTTTCCTCCTGGCAATTGTCCTTGATGTGGGTGATGTGCTTAAATAGTAATCCGATTCCGATAACAGACTGTGGCGCTTCCTCATCTTATTCCTCCAGCTGCTGGTCGATGCCTCCACGTCCATGATTCCGAATCGCGATTTGGGCCTATTGGAAAGTGGATCCTGGGATGAGGAAGGAGCATGCATGTGCACCAATCTTGAAGGGGTCTTGGAAAATTTAGTTGGTGAACTCGGTTTGCTTCGAGGGGCAGGGGTCACGGGCTCCGACATTTCGGTGCTTTTTATGCTTTCTATGCTGTCCATTACATCTGGATGACTGTTTTCATTGTCCATAGACTCGATTTCATCTTCACGTTCGGAGCCAGGCACCTCTGCCTGCACCATTGACTGTCTGAAGTCATCTCCACTATCATTTGAAACATCTGGCTCTTCGCTCTCGCAGACTGCGGTCGAGTTTTTGACAAGCGTATCGTGCTGCAGAAGTCCCGATGATCCTATGGTCTTGTTAAGCAGACTCCGTTTGATGGGTATACTCTTGTCGAGTTCTGTCGTGCTACCGGGACTGAACTGATTGTCATTATCATACAGGTTGGGGATCTCCGATGGTGGCTGAAAAGTCTTCCGAACCGATTCCGTACTATGTTCGCGGCAGCTGCTGTGACGAGCATAATTGTGGCTCCGCCTGCTTACTGGGGAGGATGAATGGGGCACAGCAATGCCATCCACTTCTTTTTCGACTACCTTCGGTCTATCCAGAAGCGGCTGTGTTTGTCCAAGCACGATTCCACGACCATAATCAGGAGATCTTGCAACATCTGCCCGGAGACCCAGTCCACTACTATCAAGCCAATGCGTTGAAGAGCTAGCGGTCTCTCCGCGGCTTAAAAGATGATAATAACGTGCAGATACTTGAGATTGCCGCATGTGCGGAAAATGTTTCGCAACAATATCTCGCCAACTCCAATGGCATGTAATTCTAAGCTTAAGGATCAAAGCGTCCTCTTCATGATTAAACAGAGATTTTGTGCCAGAGTGTCGTTTGACAGAGCCAGAAGATGGGGAATGTTCCGCATCCGCCGATCTTTTACGCAGTCGCTGGCGTGGCACAGCCCAGAGGCTCTCACTGAATGGTGCATGTTGCTGGGCGGGACGGGCGGTTGGGGCTGGCGTTGTTTTAGAATTGTACTGATGTACCGGGCGGGATATCCCAGGGGTATTCGGAACGTTGGCTGGCAAAGGAGGGGCTGCCCAGATAGGATCCGGAGTTGATACGTTCGCACCTTTCCATATCTGCATGAATTGCGCGATATTTTGAGATATCTGTTGTCCAAGTTGCTCCATAACGGCGATATCCGGCGTCCGACAAGCTTGATACGAAACCGCTGGGACATCGGAGCCATGGGAGCCTTCTGAGTCTTGAATAGGGTGAACATCGACAAACTTGTGTTGCACATCAGAAAGTCTAACGTCTGTATTAGAAGTCAGATGCTTGATCGATGTCATCTTCGTTTGTTTCTGCTCCTTTGCTACTCCCACTCGCTTTGATAAGGACGAGACGCTCAATGATGCCAACTCATCTTCGGAACCTTCATTCTCTTCTGCCCGAGTTACTTCGGATGCATTCCCCAATTGATCCTCTTCGAGCCTTGGGATTTTCTCATATCCAGCTTCGTCTTCGTCTCCGTTTGCGATGGGTGACAATGACTCGATTTGTGTTTGCGCAAGACCATTTGCATAGTTCGCTATAATGTTTATTCCAGATTTGCGGTCTCCAATGTCCTGTTCCGACATCATCTTATCAATATGTCCATTGTTCTCTACGATGTGGCCCGTCTCGAAATCGATGATGTCACCAACCCCCGTGAAGTCGTGCTCATATTTTGCTATTATCTCTTCAAACCGGCTCTTCAAGTTTTGATCATTGAGGTGCCTGGCTTGGTCAAGCGTAAGCGCTGTGTCAGAGCTTAGGGACAGGGAGGTCATGGCAAAGCTAATCCTCGGGGTCGTATGTATGATAGCTGTGGATGCGCAATGCGCAACGCGCAGAAGGGAAGTGAGATAGACAATAGAAGATGGTATGCAGAGACGACGCGATCTAGACGCGTTGAGCACGTTCGGGTTAGATTCCGTTCCGAGGTCACTTGTCTAGAACTTAATAATCTTAGCACGTAAGCATACTACTCGTGTGCCATTCTATCTAACTAAAGCCTTTAATATCTATTTGCTTATATCTTATTATATGATAATAGATGCCTATATATACAGTAGCTCTATAAACTCAATCTATTATTAGAAAAAGTACTGGTACTATAATTATTTCTTCTCTTTCCTAGGCTACTTAGCATTTAAGACTTATAAAATATATGGAGTTATATATTCTAATAAAATCTAGTCTATATATAGTATAATATATAGATAATTATAACTTATATAGAGGTAGAGGAATCTAATAGACCTTCAAGGAGGGGAAGAGAAGTACTATGGATGTACCGAAGGAAGCTAAATGCCAAGAGTATTAGGTTCTAGGTAATGTGCAAAGCCCGACGTCACATGCGCAGTCATGCAGGCCTCCCCTCGCTATAAGCTCTACTTCTCTATACACCTGAACCTGCTCACCGAAATGAATACTCGTTGGTGGCTCTCTGACCACGGAATAATGCTCTTTGCTTCACCATAAGATGGACCCATCACAATTAATCTGTCCGTAAGAGATCTAAGACTGGAAGATGCAGTGCCAGAAATGCAGGCAACCCGTTCACATCGATGGCTCTCTGGACAACCTCAATGCCGCAGCGTTCAAGCTTCTGATAGGTAAGCCGGTGAACTACTTACATACGTGTCTCTCCATCTAATTAATTTCAGACTCCTCTGCTGTTTTAACGGAAAACGGATCCTTGCGCTCAAGACAAGCCCGGCCTACATATTCCCAGGATCGCCGTTCAGAATATGAAAAAGCTTCTCAACCGTCACGTAGTCCTATATTCAAACGATCATTGCCACATAGATCTAATCATGGTTCTGAGAAATACACTCTTACAGCGGACGGCCCAGGCATGTCTTTTGTCATGTTGTCCGAGTCTCAGGTAGAAACACATACTGCAGAAAGGGAGGGAGAAAGCACGATCAAAACTTCCGATGCCATACAAGATGCAACAAACTTGAAGCATAGGGGGAATGAAGTAGAAATGTCCTCTCAGAGGATGGATAAGACGAGTCGCCTTTTCGAGATACTGTCTGCTCGTTCTGATATCGATCACCCTATCTGCACCGAGTGCACCGAGTTACTCGTGGCAGGCCTACAGAAAAGACTGGGGCATACTACCAGAGAGAGGGATGCCTATGTGGAGTTTCTTCGAAATGCAAACGTCGACATACCGTCTGAGGAGGAGATTAAGCAGGCACAAGAAGCCCTGGGTGCGATGAGCGTGCGAGAGACCACGGCCATTGCTGAGCTCGAAAAGCTAGAATCGGAAAAAGCCGCTCTAGATTTGGAACTGCAGGTGCTGGATGATGAGAGTGAGAAGCTGAACATTGCTGAAGAAGAATTCTGGAGGGAACGCAACGCATTCGCGGCAGCATTCTCGGAGTTCAAAAGCCAAAGAGATGCCATCAACACGAAATATAACCATGATTCTAAGCAGTTGGAACGATTACAGCGCACTAATGTATTCAACGACACCTTCAATATCGGACACGATAATTACTTCGGGACTATAAATGGCTTACGACTCGGAAGGCTGTCTAATCATCCTGTAGAATGGCCCGAGATTAACGCAGCTTGGGGACAGACTTGCCTTCTACTCGCTACAGTTGCGGATCGTCTGAGTTTCAAGTTCCAAAATTACCGACTTGTTCCCATGGGTTCCACTTCAATCATCGTAAAAGTTGAATACCTGCAATCCAAATCCACGAACGACCCGTCCCATCCTGCTAAACCCAAAGAAACGTCTCTCGAACTCTTCAGCCACGGTGACATGCCTCTCGGCTTGGGCGGTCTCTGGCACAAGAAGTTCGACAATGCCATGATCGCCTTCCTAGAGTGCTTGCGCCAGATCGGCGACAGCGTCACGGCGTCGCCTGTTCCTGATAATCGTGTGAGTCTGAAGCTACCTTATGAGATCAAGAAGGATAAGATACATGATACGAGCATCAAGTTCAGCTTCAGCTCCGAGGAGAACTGGACCAAAGCATGTAAATATGTGCTTACGTGTTGTAAGTATCTGTTAGCACATGCGAGCAACCTTCATAATCCGCCACAGCAGCAGATAAGTTGACGCAGATGTATAATGTGGCTGTTCGCTTTTGAATATCGAAAATGTACTCGCGCCTATTGATCACGTCCTCAGCGTGGTCAGCTAGGCGACGGGATAGAGCATAACATTTATGGTCACGAAACACGTACATCGTGTTGGCACTTTTTTTGTACGCCAATCTCGCCCAACGTGGACAAATGGCTCAAATATATCGTTTGATAGCCGCCTCTATTTTATATAGAGTTCTTCACGATTGGGTTAGAGAAGCCACCTTCCACGGTCCTAGGTGCCTGTCCACAGGTCAGGTGAATCGGCGGTTCAATGTCACTCATTCCCATTATATAGTGGAAAGGTAAGCCGCCATCTTCAAATTCAACATTCCTGTGCTGATGCTGCTTTCAGCTTGTAATCTATGATGAGCAGCTATTGCCAATAGTTTTACCCCTATAACTTCATCACTTAAGGCACATAACAGTGCTTCGGTCATTCCTCGACGATCTCTTCGATGCCCGACGTCGGGCTACATGCCAAGCAACAGCGCAACGCGGTCCACCCAAGGGAGAAGGAAGCAAGTAGGTAGAAGTGAAACACCTGGCATACATAGGATGCATAGGACTATTCAATAGTACCAATCACGTAACCCTGAAAGCACAGTCCCGGATCTGCCATGAGCAACCTGTTTATTCATATTTTACCTAGGTAATTACCATGTATCTTAGGCGCCACGCTATGCCTTTAACCGGGGGGGAATCTTCACCACCGCCACTACCTCACAACTTAATCAGTCTTTCTTCATTGAAATCTGGCGGCCGCATTAGCGTCTGCTGATTCACCTTCCCATTTCTCTTCAACCCAGCTCCCTCATTACTAATCCAAATATATTGGCTCAACTCCTCACTTGATGCAACAAGCTTGATCTCAAATTCACTAATACCAGCCTTGTCTTTCGGTATCCATACTGCAGGCCGCGTCGCTCGCAGCGCGCGATGTCGGAACGCCTTATTGACCAAAATATCGCGCTCTTCGCTAGTAAGGTCTTCTAATTCATCGTTCATGCCGTGATAATAGCGCTCTTCGACAGGTTTTTGCGCCTCGACGTCAGCTTCCTCCTCTGCAAGAGCATCAGTTCCACGGCGATGATGTGCTACGCGACGGGCGATCTTCGCGGTGGACATGACGGCGCCATCGACAGCAGAGCCGAGTGATTCACCGATAGCTTTGTCCACACGTGAGAAGGCCCCGTCGGGCTCGTTTGCATCTTCTCTGGCCAAGGTCTTATCTGTATGTGCTGTGTGATACACGTTAGATGACGACCTTTGGCTAGATCTTGAGGTCCATGATGGCTTGCGCTCGCGACCAGTGCCGATCACCTTAGGTGAGAGGTTCAGGTCTGACGATGAGAGTTTGGGTGACCCGGGCAGTTGGTGCCCCTGTTTAAGAGCTTCAATACGTTTGCTTTCTGCCTCCTCGAGAGCCTTGTTTTCCGCCTCCTCCCTGCGCTCGCGATGTTCAAGCACCCATTGAAGGTTTTCGCCCTCCAATTTTCTACGTTCGTCAGGTGAAAGCTCTTCGCCGTCGTGTCGGCGAGCTTGTAAAGCAGCAAATTCCTCATCCCGTTCCACAGCGTCATCTTCCATCGTGATAGGGATGTATCTGTACAGAGGGCTGAAGTGTTTGTTGAGAGCTAATTGATAAAGGAGAAGTAGGACCGCAAGAATGACGACAATGATAGCTTGTGGAATGCAGACCTGATTTCCTTGGGCGTCTTGTGCAAGCAGGAAAAGACCGAACCAGCAGAGATGCATAGTGTATAGACCTGTAAATAGCTGAATCACAGCTCGAGGGAATAGCAGACCGCCGGTATCGTTGATGTATCTGTTCACATATAGTGCATTATACCGGTGAACGACCCAGAACAAAGCATAGGTGATAGTGATGAACACGAGGATGAGTGGGGCGATGACAGAATAAACGATGCCTTGAATACTAGTTAGCAAGCGCTTCTAATTCGGTGTTGCATATTCAGGGAGTATCCTCACCAATTACGGCAAAATTGGTATACACAGGGAAGAATGTTCCCCATTGGATGCTTGGTAGCTTTGTCGACCTATTGAATAAAGACCGTGGCGAAGAATCAAACCATCGGCTCCACAAATACATCATAAAAATGTTGAAGCCCTGTAGGATGGCGCCAGCACTCACTGAAAGCGCTTGTAGGACAATGTAGGAGAAGAAGTAATTAGCTGCCAGTGGGAGCTGCTGGGCGAGGATGTTGGGAATGCTCGTCACTGTTGTGTCGCCTGAGAACAGATCGAGGATCGTAGAGATACCTGTGGCAAAAGTGGCGACCAGGAAAACTTGAACGAAGAGGAAAACGAAATAATAGAGTTGGACTCTTAGTTCGAGTTCGTTTCCAGTCCTCATACCTTGTATGGCAGTGAGTAGCCGAAGGATGAGAGGTAGCAGGACAAGTAAGAGACCCAGTAAGGCAGGGGGAAGGATACCCTGTATCAGCGATTTGGCCGCTTTTGGCCATGAGTTGACGAAGTCGAGCCAGGAATATGTATCTGCAACGTCGTCAAGGTTGGAAAGAGCACCAGTGAACGCCACTGGAAACGCCCACAGGATCACGAGACCAACAACAGCTGCTTGAACAAGGACTGTCTTGATCCATGAGAACCACCATGGCGTTGAAAGACTGTCCCATCGTACGTCATCAGGGGAGATCTCAACTGTCCTGGGAGTCATCTGAAGCGGTACGTGATGGTTCAGCGATTGACAAGCCATATGTGCGGCGACTTGATGATTAAATTGAATGAACGCAGAGTTCATCAATGGAAACCGCTCGGGATCACTCTGGAACCTCTCAATGTGTTTGTTATACACAGCGAGGGCAACAGTGAGATAGTCAATAGAGTCCACTTTGGTGCCAACTTTTGGTATCCAGTTTAACAACGGCGAAGGGTGCACGTGTGTGGTTGGGCGGTCGCTCTCCTTGACGTACTTGGTGCATGGGGGATTTAATTCTGCAGTGTATCGACGCCGGCGCTCGGTTTCTGCCTTGCTTAGCTCTATAAGTTCCTTTTTGGTGGGCATTTCTTCTTCCAAAGAATTGACGAAGAAACCAACGACAGTTCCCAAGAAGCCGCTTTTCTTTTGAGTGGGCTTGGCGTCAGGAATTTTCGTCTTGGTATCTATCGTTGATTCTCCAGACGTTCTAAGTTTGAGATCATGCAGCGGATACTCGTCTCCTTCGCGTACTTGGGATTGCACACCCTGGTGTTGCGACTTGAAGCTTTTGTTTCCAAAAAGCCCTCTTTTGGGGTATGATTCTTCTTCTGCTGGCTGCTCTTGCGCTGCAGGTATTGGGGCGAAATCGTTCGAACCTGATGATTCTCTAGCCGCACCACTGGTTGACCCCTGTTCTACATTGGGCAGATCTTTTTCGATGGGAGCTTCAGTCGCATCCTCGTTCAGTCCGTTCCCCTTTCCACGAGTAAATGTATCAGTAACTCCCTCACGGACATAGTGGCCAAATCGATTAACGCCATGACCCACCGCTCCGACTCCGCGACCCAGCCCCTGGCCGACAGCACCAAAGCCTCCCGCCACGTCTGAGAGCAGGTCATTCTTCTTCTTTGCTTCTAATGTCTTTCCTACATTCTCGAATGATCCGGAGCCCTCGCGTCCGAGCGCTTCGTCGAGAGTCTTCGCAATCTGATGAGGGTTGCCCGTACTCATCCCAGGTTCTTCATGCACATCCATGTCCGCCGGGGAAACTCCGGACGTCTTGCTCGATTGTCTGTAGAATTCTACGTGGCCAGCTTCAATCAAGTTCGCATGAGCATTCTCAAGATCAGAGGCTATGCTCTCTCTGGCACTAACCAGCGAATCAAGTTCCCCATAGTCTCTATTGATCCATATATTGCGAACACCACCGGGAAAGACGTCGTAAAGTCCATCAAGGGCTTCTCGTGTCAGCCATCTCCTTCCGATATTGGTGACTAGAACTGTCGTGGCTGATGCTCGCAGCCTATGTTGTGGAGAAGTCAGGTAGGCTTGACGTATACGGATATAGCCCCGTAGTTCCCCGAACATGATGTAACAAATGTAAATGTCCAGACAGAGGATGGCAACCAGATGCACCCATTTTCTGCTTTGATCATTTGCGCCAATATTTGAAACGGAGAACTTGTTCACGCCGCTGTGAGGTTTATCTTTCAGATTGACGCTGTTGATCGGAAGAAGGATAGGTAGTAATACGCAAGCTGCGGGAACGAATATCTTGAGAAGCATGCGGAGGTAGCGAAGAAAGAAATAGGCGTCCAGGCCGCATTTCTCTATAAATTCCATATTAGAGGTCTTGAATATTGATACGACCCAGCCGAATATGCCGGGACGTGCATCGGGAATCCTCTCTTTTTCAGGTACGAGATATGTTTTGGGCGAACTGCTTCGTGTCAGATCATGTCCATTTAGCGTATCAAATATTTCAGAGTGACGTACTATATTCTCTTCAATCGTAACCGGAAGAAGTTAAACAGTAGGAACTGTACACCGAATGCAGCTGCTCCCGTACCTATCGAGGCCAGTAGAGTCCCAAATGATATGTTCTCGTCGCCCAATGCAGTTCTTGAGTTACTAGCATTGTCCATCGCAGCGGAGGTAGGCTGGCACGAATGCAAGCCGGATTGTGTGGAGCAAGGTATGGTTATGCGAAGCCAGTGACGGATCAAAGCCGTAAATGCATGCAAAAACTCGACGATGCTATTGTAGTGCTGTTTCATGAATAGTGAGTATATTGAATGCTTGATTTGCACACTAGCAGCTTTCCATTACTTACAACGCGCACTTGGCGAACCAGCAGGTAGCGATGATGTAGCGAGAGAAGGAGACGCCGGAGCCAATCCAAATTCCATCGAAACTTCTTTAGGCTAGGTAAATGATTCGGGAGAGGACTGGGGGAAGTGTGCTTGTGGCAAAGGATCGGGATCAGGTTTATTATGTAGGGCCGACAGAAAGCAAAGAGAGTTTAGGGTAAAAGACCGAAGAAGAGGATAAAAGGAGTTTGAGGTAATAAAGGACTGAACCAAGATCGAAACAAAGAGACACCCAGAAGCAAAAGCCGCCCAGCATTACGCGCGCGACCACGCGCTGTCTAGTTACGTCATTTGAATTTGGGCAATTACCTAGGTACCTTCCAGGTTAAGTACCTGGGTACTAGATCGTGTGCAAATCGTGCTTAGGTAAGTGTGAAACAGGACTACCACAGTGACAATGAGAAGGACGTTTCACCAGCATAGGCTTTCTGCAACTTCTGTCTTCAAGGGAACGGTTTCAACGTAAAAGGCCCGATCGTGCTATATTTTTGGTGAGCAGTAGATCAATAACTGCACGGATTTTCCCGATCGTGTCGAGCGAGCCTTGCCAGGCTTAGTGCAAGGAGTTGCCTTGCATCCGGATGCGCATCGAGCAGAGACTTTTGATGGTATTACAACTACGTCTAATCAAGACTCGGGGCCAACGACAACTCATGTATAACTTATTGAATCTTGTACGCCTAAACCTGTCGTTGGAAAGTTGCTAGCAGCACTGAAGGGCTTAATCGACGGGCGCCTCGAAGAACCTGGCTGATATCTCAGTCCTTGCCTGACACCCGTACGAGTGAGTCATGGCTCGTCTCTGAACTCGGGAGTAATTAGCATACGGATAGGCTCTACTGTTTGGGATATATATCAAATGGTCTTCCGTTTGAGCTACATCTTTCCACAATCATAGCTTGTAATGACAGCTAGGCCTTCCGTCAACCTTTGGCAGCAACGCCACGTAGCACGTATCAATGTTTAATTCGCGCTGGTTACGGGTCCTATACACTGCCAGATGAATAATACGGTTTCAGATACAGAGACGACTATTTGATCAGGCTCGCACAGAAGGATCACGCAATTGACTGGCGAAATACACAATTGCAGACCTCATAACAACAACGTATGAGAGCCCTTGGACACGTATGATACATTCCAGATACGACATCGCCTTGGGTAGTTAGCATAAGCAACCAGTCGCATTGGGGAAATATTCCATGTGGTATACAGAGTGGGCATCGGACTTATGCTGTGTGCACTAGCATGTAATATGTGCATTGAATGATTTGTCTATTTGATGCTCGGGACAAATGGCGTAATATGGTGTTGCAGGTTGCCAAAGGCAAACGACATACATCATCATCCTGCTGGTTGATGTAAACCATATATGCTACCTACACAGAAACGTCCGTGTGCTCGAACAAACTATTACTAAATTTAACGTTGTGTGAATTCGATGACTGAGTGCTGGTGAGGGGTTGGTGTTTCTATTACCCCCATGATTCCCAACAGAGATTTTGTTTGGTAATGAGTTCGTCACGCGCAGCTACGCTCTGGCTTCTGAGTAATGCAATGGCGCGTCTATACTGGCGACTGGCTGGCGAGAAGCTTCGTCTTTCTCCGCGGCGAGCCCAAAGACAAGAAGATCAAGGGACGCATCAAGCTTGCGTTTTCGACGTTGACCATGGATAGATGTAATGAATTGAGTTGAAATTATTGAACAGGCGAGCGAGCAGGTAGGGGAGGATCTGCAATTGAATGATGGATCTCTAGCGTCCAGGATGTGATCACACGCCATTCGAGGGGCATCAAGTTTAGCGGAGTGCCCAGTCAGGGCCAACCTCAAGCACGTGCACCTACAGATTCTAGCCTTTCCGTCTTCTGACTCCAGGTCAAGTACTCCAAGACTCTATATCACAAGGGTTGAAAACTCTTCGACACTGGAACCCGTACTTGGCAAAGCCGACAGTATCCTTAAGGTTATGGCATATCTTGGGCCCGGGCAGTTGGCCCTATTCCCCCAGGTTTCGCTACGAGCCGCCCGCCACCGTCCGTCGTGTTGTATTTACCACTGTAGCTATAAGGAAGGGTGTATGCCCTCGAGTTTTCTTTCCAAGCTTCTGCCGCAAAGTAAACAAACATTCACTAAGTATTGACCGCGGAGATACTCCATCCTCCATAGCCCCTCAATTACCTAAGTACTGTTTCACAACCTCACTCCTGCTACTTCGATCTTCTTCAATCATTCGGACAATTGTCAATCACGTTTTATCATCTTCCCCCAGGTATTGCTGTCTGAACCTTCAATGAACATCAACGTCTTTCCTCACGAAATCCTGTCCTCTATCCTAGTCCAAGCCGCCGAAGCAAATGCTCGGGAAGGCGTCAACTTCAGCTTTGGCCTCAGCCAAGCTCCGCTCCCGGGCCAGAAGGCTAAACTTCAACGATACGTGAAAGCTCCGCTGCGCCCAGACGTCATAAGATGGAATGCGACAGATTCTCTCCGACATGTGTGTCGTCTTTGGCACAGCTGGTCTCTCAAATATGCTCTGGACACGCTGTGGATCAAGAAGTGGAGGGGCGGCGAGCGGTGGGCTGATTTGCCCCTACGACACAGTACGTTGTCAGCATGTAGTGCGAAACCGAGCATGAGAAGCTGATGATCCTGGCAGCTCAGTATCGTCTTTATGAGATGATTGACACACATCATCCCAACGCTTACGTAGCGAAGCAACCTTACGATCACCTTACCAAGGTTGGTGAGCTTCTTGCACGGTATCCTGCTATTGCCTCGAATATCCGACGCATGTGGTTCCATGGCTTCTTCGGTGCTGGTACAGACCAGTCCATCTTCCATGTACTTCGTTGCTGCCCGAATGTCACTACAGTCACATTGCCTTGGACCGCTCTTCGTCACCTCGGCTGGCAGGAGTGGTCTTGGCTACTTGGAGACCGAGAAGGCAATCCCATTCGGTCTCTAGAGCTCCTTTCAGAGGATCTTACTCGAGTACAGATGACAGATCCTCAAAACACCATCGATTTGAAACCTCTTGATTCTACCGCAGTCAACCTAGGCCGACTCCGAAAGCTGAAGATCACTGGTGAAACTAGTTTTATGCCAGTCAAGGACAACGATCTCTTTGCTATTGCTCGCTCTGCTACGAAGCTGGAGGAATTCTATCTATCAAACATGTCAAGTGTTACGATTGATGGTGTCATGGCTATAGTAAAGGCGTCCCAATCCACTCTACGGGTGCTGGAGCATGCGCCTCGCTCCAACGATGGTTTCTGGCATCCCCATCCAGGCTCATGGTCCGAAAACGAACACATCTGCGAGCTTCTTACCAGCTGTCCGAAATTGCAAACAGTATCGCTCTCTGTGCCAACCATATGTGCAAAGCTCTTTGCCAACGAGAACGTCAAGTGGGAAGGAGATTTCCAGGTTCGATCGCTGCACATATGCGGACACACAGACAGTCATACTCATGCCGCAAAGGCGGACTTTCGTAATCTTCTTGTCGAGGCTCGCGCACTCGCAAAGTCTAAGGCTAGATCGACGATTCCAAAGGAGCTCTTCATTGAGATTTTCTTCGCCGATTTCATCTTCGAGCCCCATCTCAGTATCGTACATGGCGACTTCCAGCTTGCGGAGCTGTCCTCTGGCAGCACATGGCCTGCGGACTATGCACGCGCTCCTTCTCGTAAAGGGCCATATGGATCGTCTGGACTATGGGAGAAAAAAGAAGAGGAAGGCATATTTGAACAGCTCGATGAAGCAGAGTTCGTCGTCGGCCTTCAACATCGCTACCTCACACTTGATCACCACAACCTCAACTGATCAATGATCTCAGCAAATGCCAGGGTCCAATCTTACAAGCCCTCGAACCACACACGATTTCCTTTGTCGCCATGTCTCGCCATAGCACTTCCAGGCGCATTATTACCATGATTCACGAAGAACCATATACCCATTTGATGCACCTTTGATACGACTAAATGGGCGACCCGTCTTGATTCTGTTGCATGGCGCCGGGGATTATGCTTTTGTTACGCATGGGTAAAGGATCAATCTCAACTCACTCACGGCCGAAGTCTTAGGTCTTCCCCTTTCATGCATAGATATCCGTATGTGCTGTGACTCGTAGGTCAGGTAGTATCGCCCAACCGAGCAATCCACGGATGTCCGTACAAAATTTAGGAAGACGACTTAAATACTGTTCGTTTTGTAATAATCATATCGTGATTGTATAATTGAACCGTCTTCTTATTCTGCAATTCGCTTTGATCTTGAAAGCCCTTCCTTTGATCATCGCGGTACGGCCTGCATCTCTGCAATATGTGCATCACATCGCCAGACATCACAATGCCCACAAGCAATATAAAGACCACAATTTCATGTGGTTATCCATTCATTCATGACTCATTCTTGGAACCTGAGACGTCCCATACAACGCCGTGCTTCTTCAAATCATACCGGCATGGGTAGTCTCCGCTCTTTACAGCCTATACACCATCACTTCCAAGCAAGATGTTATGGCCTTTGCCAACCCTCAACCCTGCCCGCCATTCCGAGTGTAAAGCCTGTCATGCATGTTGATCCTCGGGTATCGTCCCATCCAGCACTCAAATCTGTGCTCGCAATACAACGCTCCATATGCTCAGATGCCACCCTTTCGTCAGGATTCTGTCCATCTCACTGCTTGGCCTTGGCCGTGACCTGTTGTGCTTCTGTTCTGTAATCAGCCTTATTCCACTTCTCTCTTTCTCTAGACGCCATGAATTGCCCCCTCCAATCGCCTGACCGCGCGACGCACTCACCTCGTCTACTCGCGTCCTCCAACAGCGCTGTGTCAACGCTCCCGGCCGGCAGATGCACGTAGCGTACCACGCTCCCGCGGATGAACACATTCTTGACAGAGCTCAGGTGTGGGTAGTGTAGGTCGTCGACCACGCTGATGTCGTCGAGTTTGATATTCAGATACTGGTCGACGGATTTGAGGGTGCCGCGAATAGAGATGTCGTTTTTGAGCTCGACCGTGACCGAGTGGTCAACAAGGGTTTTGAAGAAGGAGAAGAAGAGCATTGTGTGGGTCGGGCGGAGGTTCGGGGATGAAAGTTAAGCTTCACAGGAAGATCAGAGAATATTGTGTAAGTATCTAAACTTGGTACGTAGGTAGGTAGACTAGGTGAATCGCGAAGTCTTGGCGCTCAGCAAGATGGATCATGCGCTGGACAGGATGTATTGTACACATCTTCGTACAGCTTTGGACAGCGCCAGCTCACCGTACGTATTTACAGGGCTGCTTGTCGCTGTACATGTTACGATAGCAGAGAGTCGTCGTATATCAAGTTCCATCATATTTTCTGTATACGACAACGCCGTGACTATATACACAGAGGCATAAGACGCGTAGGAGAAAGATTACAGTATCTGCTAAGGAGATATAGGGTATTGGAGAAACATAGAGCAATCTAAGATCACTAATTTCGCTTCGGCGTGTTCCACACTCGTCTCCTTCGTCACGCCAACCCAGCTCCAATTCACGGTCCCGCTGCTTGAAAGAGTGTATCGAAGAGAAACAGGTCCAGCCAGTGTTATTACAAACGCATAACAAGCTGAAGTCAAATCGGCTTCCGTGCCCATCCACTCAAAAGTCTCCATCCAGCCCCATGCTTGGGCCCTTCCTCCATCACTGCCGCCACGCCCTCTAGTTGCTTCTCCTCCGCTTTCCCCATCTCTGTTTGCATCTTGATCAGCCAGCGTTCCCACATCCACGAGCCGACAAGACCCGTTATAGCGGCGACGTCTGCCGTACACCCCATCAGATCTGCCTCCACGACGACCCCGTCGGTTGTGATCGTTCTGTCGAGACTTGGACCCGCGTTGACTTTCTCGGTCCAGTTAGCCGCAGGTATTCCCATGGGTAGGAACGTCCATGAGCGCTTGATATCCTTGAATCCAGCAAGATTCAAGCGTGGGACAAATGTCCTTGTTGGCAGGGGGTCGTAGCCGCGTGTTTTAAGATTGTACCCAAATTCGACAGACATAGCCAAGGCTAGCGGACCACCGTGCATGATGTCGGAGTCCAGCGCTGTGAACTCTAGGTATCCTCCAGGCCGCAGGCATCGCATACATTCCTTCAAACACAGATCCAGCTCATCGGTCTTCTTGCCCGTGGGCTTATCGGTCTTGAGCAATGCGTACAAGCTGCGGGCCGAGATGACATCAAAATGATTTGATGGGAACGGAAAGGTCCAGTAGTTAGGAACAACAGTGTGTTTGTGGTTTTCGGGCCCTTCCACGTCCATCTGAGCTTCTGTTGTCGCAGTGTAAACAGTGGCATGTGGGTGATCAAAGCATACTTGCCATGCCCAGTCGCAGACTGTCTTTCCGCCAACATCGAGGATGCGAGGCGATGTTGCGCGCGAAAGAGCTCTTGATGCAACCGGGGTGATCAATTTACCACCGTTCAAGAACTTTATTGCCTCGAGTACCCAGACTGCCGGGCGCACTTGATCCAGAGCTTGTTTCTCCTTTTGAGCTCGAGCGATTCGTTCCTTGAGAACAGTTGAATCGTCGCTGTAAAAAGATGACACCGGTCGTGGAGGCACGGGGCGGGCGACGGTACTAATCTCGTAAAGACCCAGCAGTTGTTTACGATGAACATGTGCCATGTGTCGTCGCATAGTATGAAGAGCATCAGCTCTGATTTGGCGTTGAATGTACACATCTCTCTTCTGGGTCGAGTCCCATAAATGAGCGAAAGCCTCGACAAATACCGTCTCCTTGGTCTCCTTCTCCTCTGTTGATGATGCGGAAATTGGCAAGGCTTCATCAATAAATCGCACAGATTTCTTGGACGGCGAGCAAACCGAGTGCTCTGCGGAATTAGATCGATTGCGTGACCTATCGCTGCGGCCTTCAATGGGACTAGGAGCCGGATCGGGTTGGATAAGCGCAGCCAAGTAGGAGACCTGCGCGTTGAGCCATGTTCCAGTGCGATCGATGTTAGCTCCTGCCTTGATTTGCAGACCCTCGGGATAGTTTGGGTCGTATTCTGTGCGTACGCTGTCATTACGCTGGATCTCCATCACTTCAAGCGGCTCGTCAGCTTGTTCCGAAGACATGGCTATGGCTTTGGCTGTCAGCGGGCCAGACCCATTTGACGACGGGACCCCGAGAACACGCGAAACAATATCGTCCGCAGATGTTCTCCAAGGTACACCGTAGAATTCCTCGGCAACAGTCGTTGACGGCACAGCATCCTCGGTTGGGGCAGTGCTCCAGGTGTGCCGCGTGTTTGAATCCAGTGAAGAGAAAAACCCTCCCGGTGACGGTATGGACAAGGCAGAGAGCGGGTCCTCACCAGTGTTGTTAACAGGCGTGGGGAACAGCCCACTAACATTCCTTACGTGATCAACTTGTTCCATCTCCGCACTCGGCATCTCTTCCCATTCTGAATCTTCCACGGGTTCAAGATGATCTCCGGGGCCTGAAAGGGAATGGAGGGTCTGCAAGGCCTGTGGGTGCAGCTGAGTGGGTGGAAGCCAGTCCGCCTCGCTAGTATTATGCTTATGCAAGTCTGGAGTAGAAGGGCAACTCAGCTTATCAAGCTCTTCAGAGGTGAAGCTTCCGTCCAGGGAAGGTGTCGCGCTGCCATTTGGTACTTGAACAGCTCGCGCCGCTATCATCTGCATAAGTCCGGCGGCAGGTGATTTTAGTGGTGTCGGAAGGGCAGGAGATATTGGCGCACAGGTGCTCTTTAATTTCTGGATGGTCGGCCAGTTTGACGGTGAGGGTATCGTAATTGATGGATATCGACTTCGACTACTTCTCGCCGAGCTACTTGGCGGGTCACGATTGACAATCTTCTTCAAGGAAGCCGAAATCTTAAGCGGTACTTCCTCAGCTTCATCGTCGCTAACATCATATAGTGAATCGAAGGACGGTCTCCGATGTCGGTTCCGAGGCTGTTGTCGCTGTTCTTCCCACGGATCCGACAATGATGACGGTGTCGACACCTCGGAAATAGGTGATGGCTCATTCTGTTCCTGGGTTGGCCGAGGGCTGTGCTGTGTCTGTATAGCCTTCGGAGTGGTGATATCGTCCGTCATGGGCGGCGACATCATACCAGGTCTTGGGAACTGTGCGATAAGTCGAGGAGTGTCTTGAGATTCGTCGTCAATGACGGTGTTTAATGTACTTCGATGGCAGTCATTGGGGTATGTGCGAGGTACATGGCTAAGCTGATAAGCAGTCTGAGGGAGTATATAGAAGCTCATATTTGCGAAGGTCAGCTACGGCTTCCCTCCAAGCGATGGATATGGTAGCAAGGGTGGTGCTAGACCGAGTAGCTAGTAGCAAGGGGGGAATTAATGGTTGAGCCACCAACAACAGAAATATTAAGAAATTAATAGACCGATCAACGGTATGTAGACTGGAGTGGATAAGAATGCTGAAAGCAAGGATGCTTCGATCTACGAAGACTGGGATAAGAAAGGAAAGGTAAGGGAAGAGCAACGGAATGAACGAAAAGGAAGAGTGACTCGAGCAAGAGGTTGGTTGAGAGAAAGCGGCACGGCGGTCAGTAGGTATAAATTCGACCGGCCAGCAGACCTTGGAGCTTCGTCATGGCGGACGTTACGTTTGCCGATGCAGAACAGAAGAGGATCCCATTGAATTGCATGGCGGCAAGAGACCAGAACGAGCGTCTCGCACAGAGGCCTGAAGAGTAATTAGTGCGAGCACGGCTTACACTATACGACGTGGCCATGATATGGAGGACAGGAGGATGAGGAATATGATTGGCTGCAAGGGGATGATTGGCACACAAAATAGGATGGCAGGCGAAGCGCCGGGGGTAGGGAATCGTTCGCGAGCGGGTACGGACAGAGGGTCCCTGGTTGCTGATGATGCAGATGGTGGCAGATTCAGCAGTAGTGTGTGTATAGTGTATATTCCAGTATTGCAGCAAGCAAGAAAGTGAATGCTAGCTAGTATTGACGTTGACCAACAGCAGCGACTGGAAGCGCGGACGTCTGGAAGCGCCCAATCCAGAGATCCATGTTGTGTTCTGTTGTTTTAGCGCCCACGAGTGATACCCACTCTTCCCGTAGCCAATCACGACGCCGAAATCATGGGTCTTCTTCCAAGTCTGACTCTACTGCTCAGCAAAGCACAAGATGCAATTACTGGCATTGGCATTATAATTTGTTGTTGTGGTGGTACACGGCAGTTATATGTGGGGCAAGCTCTTGTCTATAGGTACTGACCATACGCAGTCTCTCCCGTAATGACAACACTACATCTCACTGCCGGAGAACATCCATGGACGTTTTGTCTTTGATCGGAGCCGTCTTACATATAATACGAGACGTTTGCTGCTATCCTCGCCCTGGTCTGACACCGAATACATGCATGCAATAGGCACGATATTGAAAGACTCCAGAATGGTAGATCATCTGATGTGGACTAGTTGTTGACATACGGCGGTTGCTAGGTATATATCCATGGTGGCGATTTAAAATTCATGCCTGAGGCAGGCACGAGCTCTTGCACCCCCACCAGACGACAGTACCAAAGTGTGTGAGCAACCTGCATCTATAATCGACATCACCTTGCTGATAGCTCCGTCCAACCTTCCAGTCTCTTCTATAACAATACCATGTCGCCTCCGGCCATCATAGCACCCTCTATTCTTTCCTCTGATTTTGGTGCGTTGGGAAAAGCATGTTCAGACACGATTGAACGCGGGGCAGATTGGCTGCATGTTGACATTGTGAATAAGCGATTCCCACTGTTTGAAGATTGACCCTGCAACTGACGAAGATACCAGATGGACGGTCATTTTGTCCCCAATATGACTTTTGGTGCTCCGGTAGTCACGAAGATCCGTCCGCACGTTTCGAAACCTACCAGCGCTTACGGGCGTGGAACATTCGATTGCCACATGATGATTGCCGAAGTAGGTTACGTTCACTTGCCTCTCAGCAGTATTCTGTCCAATGGGCCCATCTGTATTTCCTCTTCGACGCCCTGTCAGTCTATTAGATAAGAACGGCCAGACCAGGCATTACCACCACTCGCTCCAAAATCCGCTCATGTATTCACCTGAAAACCCACCTGCAGCATCACGTCTCACCAAGTGAGACCCTCACTTAGCAATGCACGACTGAACTCTGACAAGTAACCCCCAGCCCAAGCGCTGGGTTCGCGAATTCCAGAAAGCTGGTTGCGACCTGTACTGCTTCCACTACGAAGCGGCCATCAACTCCACCGCCGCCGAAAGCCCCTCCGAAGACGAGCCCACCAAGACGAATCCCAAGGAGCTTGTTCGTTACATTCACTCCCTTGGCATGCAGGCAGGTATCGCCATCAAACCGTCGACAAAAGTCGACGTACTCTGGGATATCCTTGCGAGCGATATCAAAGAGGAGATTCCTGACGTAAGTTGCCCGCCTAGTACGTTTCAATAAACTTCACCCTGAACCTCGAAGCGCTTACGAAGCGCCGGACTCTTTTGTCTTCTTATCTCGATCGAAATATCAATGGCTCGTGTACATGGCAGCTGACCTTGCCTTTAGATGGTTCTGGTCATGACCGTTGAGCCCGGCTTCGGCGGGCAATCATTTATGGAGTCTGAGCTACCCAAGGTAACGGCGCTTCGGGAGAAGTATCCAGATTTGCACATCGAAGTCGACGGGGGACTCTCAGAGAAGACCATTGATCAGGCTGCTGATGCGGGTGCCAATGTCATTGTCGCTGGATCGGCAGTGTTTGGTGCGAATGACCCTGCAGAAGTCATCGCAAACTTGAGGGAGGCAGTAGAGAAGAGAAGGAAGAAGTAGAATCAGGAGTGTCGTCGAAAGCGAATGCTCACTCCGTGTGACCGTGTGGAGATGTGGCTGCAATTGTGATGTAGTTCTGCGCCCCCAAGCTTCAAAGTTGCTATTGGATTCTCGACCTGCCTGACTTAGTATACGAGAAAGAACTTTCTAGTGGTGTATAACTCGAATTATCATTAACTAAGCTACGTATTATAATGGTTTCTTAGATATAACGATATCAACCAACGTCATGCGTGACTCCTCCAAATTAATATAGACTTACTGCTAATATCATCCTGTCTTTACTTTCGCTGCTGCCGCGACCAAAAGTTTCAAATCCTTCTCCATAGTTTGTCTTCCATCGTACGTCTTCCAGACTTGATGTGGTGCTTTCTTGACACTGTCCCACGCAACGAGGTTCTTCGTGAGCTTAGACAGGTCTTCCTGCTTCTTCTCCCATTCACTATCAGTCTTGACCTTTATGCCGGACGACACGACGACCACAGGTACGCTCTGGCTTTGTATAGCTCGAGCAGATACGACCTCGTTCTTGGACAACGAATCTGCTACCAAATTCTCCTGTAGCTGCGCCTTGATAAATTTGCCAGACTGATATGCGTTGCGCCCATAGACACGGTCTTGTCTCGTACGTCCCTTGAACATGGCACCTCCAAGTCGCTCGATGCCCAGTGGTGACAACACACCCCAGCCCCATAGCACGAATCCACGTCCCGGTGAGCTCAGACGATGTAATAGATCCTCATGGTACGGATCGATCAGCATGATGCCAACAACATCATGTGGATGACGGGCTGCAAAAATACGGCTTGTGATCGTGCCTACACCAGCCCCGACGGCAATCCACGGTCCCTCCTCGCCAGCGCGGGCAAGGGCTTCGGAGAGTGCATCGGACGACATACCAGCGGAATGGGGTGAAGGGGCGTTATCGGACCAAGCGTACCCCGGACGGTCCCAGTAGCAGTAGCGAGAGATGCTACCATTCCTGTAGCTATTGTACGCCCAGTGCTCAAAGTCATATTCGGATGGGTACTCCCCTGCTTCGAGCAGAACTGTAGGTTCACGTTTGCCATGGCTTTCCGTTACGTTACCTACACAAGCAAGGTGTACTTGGTATTTGTCACCATCAACAAAGTAACGCTCTCCAGCCATTGGAAGGGAAGCATCGCGGGCTCGGAGGATGAGAGTGCCAGTCATGAGAATGACGATCACAATGTAGATGATGAGAATCACAGTGGCGAGGAAAACACCAATCCATTCAGCCAAGGTGCGGCGTGTCTCTGGACGACCAGTGAGCCGCTCCTCTTCTTCACGCTTACCCCAAGCAACGATTCTGTCGACGAACAAGCACCATATAGCCATAATTGTAGCCCAAATCACCGAGGCAAGACCAACCCAGCCTTCCTCAAATCTGACTTTTGTCACAGCCGAGATGAGAATGACGTCGATCAAAAGGAGGGTTGCAATGATGGCAGACGAAATACGCATTGCTCGTGATGGATTGGTGTAGAACAGTAGTGCAACGAAGAGATTGCCAAGCGTGAGGGTCGTATAGGAGAAATCAAAGAACCCGGAGCCACGCGAGTGCATGCCTGGAGGAGAGACGAAGATTGAGACCAGTAATAGTACCCACCATACGAATGTTACGAGGAAGAAGAGTACTGTAAGCCATCGAAGGAATCGGACGGACCAAAGATTGTAAGGAGAGACCTAGGACATTGGTCAGTGTCAATAGAACGAATCGACCAATTTCCCATATCAAATTGCAGTTGTTTCTCTTTACGGGATTTGTCACGTACAGCTGGATCATCAGGATCAAGGTATCCGTCATTGGGTGGTGGTCTTGGTTGCGCGGGAAGCAGCCTTGTGCGCTCATCTGCCTCAGGGCTGCGGTAATCTCCCGATGAACGAGGGGGAGGCGCTTCCTCGCCGGTACGTTCGTCGGCTTGACCATCAACTCCATCGCCATTCTGCTTGGAGCTCCAGAGAGATACCATGATGGTGCTGTTGGATACTATGGACCGCGAATTGGGAGGCGCCGGGTATCCCAAGAAGTCGAAGGAAAAGACACGCTGGGCTACAGGAGGTAGAAGTAATGGTAGAGGTAATGGGGAAGATGATGGTAGAGGTAATGATAGAGGCAGGAGAAGAGGTAAGTAGTCGGCAAGGAATTCCCGGCGTCATAGAGGGCGAAAAGGTGGCTGCGTCTACTCCTGCGTCTAGCCCATACTATATGTGGCTGTTTAGCTGTTTCTGATGAAGCTCGCGCAAGATGACGTTACGCCCAGCCCAACAGCGGGGACCCAGCCCCAGCCATCCAGGTTTCCTGAGCTAATTAGCCCCCCTGTTGGCCTGGCCGCAGATCGGCGCATGGAGCTATCTATGTAATTAGTTCTCTGCCGAACCTTGATATACATGGCAGAGCAGGATATAATATCAGGTATGTGTATCCATGGATATTCACTTCGGAACTTGTAGGCATGGAAGCTTCAAGTCAAGATCAGAACGCAACCGTATACCCTTCGTCGCCCCAGGTTCAGGACATCATTAGATGGACCCGTGAGAGATCAGCAACGAAACAGAACTAGCAAGGGAGGGGACGACGCCCACAGATACTCTAGTGCTTGCATGCACAATGCAACCATCCAAACCCACTCACACAGTCTGTAGCTTGCCAAACGTTCATCTATCGAAGAACAGTATACGTAAAGTACCAGCGCAAGAGTGCATCTCATCTTACGTGCCTGTCTATCACTGGTTACAAGACCGGCATCGGAGTCAGCTACGGACCTGCATGAGACTACGTCTTCTCAAGCTCTTGACATACATTCGGATTCAATATCAGCATGTCCGACCTCGCCAAGTCCTTCGCCGCAACCAAATTTGTTCCTCCTCCACCAGCTTCAGCACTTTCAGAAGATCCTGAAAGCCACTATGTCTCTGACTCCTCGTCCGCATCATCCATGTCCTCGACCGGCACATTACGCCCTACCACAGGACAAACACCTTCTGGTCCATCCATCACCTGGAATGACTACTTTACACAAGAGCTCTATCTCGAACACATTTTCGATAATAAATCTCGTGCCAAATATCATGTATACGTAACACCTCCGGATACCATTAAAGCTCCTCTCTTCGTTCTTCACCATGGAGCAGGGAGCTCTGGTATGAGCCTAGCCTTATTTGCTAGAGAACTGAAGATGCTTCTCCCAGATGCAGGTATCATATCCCTTGAGGCGCGTGAGCACGGCAGTGTGGTGTACGACGCGGAGGGCAACGTCAACAGCGATCTTTCCATCGACGTGCTGAGCTCCGATATGGTTAGCATGCTAAAGCTCACTTCAGCAAAGCTCGGCTGGCCAGAACTCCCTACAATGTTACTTGTAGGCCACTCGCTAGGAGGTGCGGTGGTTACAGAAACTGCAAAGTCTGGCGTATTAGGCGATAGAGTTCTTGGATACGCTGTACTCGACGTCGTTGAGGGTTCGGCAATGGATGCTCTGAAAAGCATGCAGTCTTATCTATCTGCGCGGCCAAAATCATTCCCTACAGTAGACGCGGCCATAGATTGGCACATCAGGTCACGCACTCTACGGAATCTCGCGTCGGCAAGAGCATCAGTCCCGCCTTTATTGATGATGATTCCGTCGGGGGTTTGGGTGTGGAAGACTGACCTTTCACGTACAGAGGCATATTGGGAGAACTGGTTCTCAGGCATGAGTAGCAAGTTTTTAACAGCAAAGGGGGCAAAGCTCCTGATGCTGGCTGGTACTGACAGATTAGACAGGGAGCTGATGATTGGGCAGATGCAAGGTCCGTATATCCGTCTTTTCAAGTGATAGCGTGCTGACACGCCTATACAGGAAAGTTTCAATTATACGTCTTCCCAACGGCAGGCCATTTCTTGCAAGAGGATCTGCCTGAGAAAACTGCTGAAGCCATTGCAGAATTTTTTCGACGGAATGATAGAAATACCCTGGTGTTGCCACCTAAAGTCTCAGACTTGATTGCGCAGGGCAAGAAGGTATGAGTGCTGCTGTTGTTAAATTACCTGTGACATGCCTGCCAGGCTTCTGAGGGTCCGTTGATTGTTTGAATGATTCAGTAGATAAGTATAATCACGCCCCAATTTTGAAGTGCTGGCAACGACCTACAACGGGTGAACCAGACAGTTTCCGTGAATACAAAGGTGATTATATACAATGATGCTTCATACCCTGATCATGTTTGGAGATCGCCCTCAAACTCATCTTCCCGGGCAGACTTTTCCGGGCGGTTGTGCTTCCGCCTGCGTTTCTTCCTTGATATACCGTCACCGGCACTGCTCTCTCTTTCTAAAGGTACGTTTGAGCTTATACCTGTATGGACTTTCGGGGGTTCCTTCTCCTGCGCGATACATAATCGTGCCCTTTCCTTCTGTGGTTTTTTCACACTAAGTGGATTCGGGCCTTTGGGTCCTCTCACTTTCTTTCTTCGCGATTGAATTCCTATAGCTTCATCCTCTTCGCCTGAAGACCGTACTAAAGATCTATCCGGTTCCAAACCATTCTCAACGTTCTCCCATTTTCGCTTTGCTCCACTGTTTGGGGTGATTCGCGCCAGTAACCCAGATCGAAACTTATTTCGCTCTTCTTTCTCTCTCTTATCTTCTGACTCAGCAGCCATGGGTTCCAGTATCATAACACTACGATTGATGTATATGAGTGGAACTCCTAGCTTTGCTCTCATAGTTGCTCGGACTGCCTTGTCTTGAGTTGCGACCACATACCGGTGCTTATTAGTACCACTGTCCTTCGGATCGACAGTTTCCGATAGACATTCTAGTGTAGACATAGGTTCCTCCAGCTCGTGGTGCCCGCATCTCCGTCTCTCAAAGGTCTTCGCTTGCGCTATCAGATCGTTGTTCTTTGTCTTATAGAGGTGTCGCATAGAGCATTGTGTGATCACTTAAGGAAACTTAGGTTAGACTATTACCGGCAATGCGAAGTACATATACTTACTAGGCTTAATCTCACCCTGGCATGTTCTCTTCAGCCCGCCGATTAAATCCATTGTGAACCGCGCAGCATCTTCAATTATTTCTGCATCGACTAGGACCTGGTATGGCTCCCTGAAATTGAAGGTGTGTTGGTATTGATGCATCAGCTTGCGATATTGCTTTTGTCGCTTGCCACGCATCTTGATGGTCTGAAAGGCGTCTGAAAGTCGAATGCGGAGTTGAGTTGAGGTTTTACTTCGAGAGCTTGAACATACCCATGTAACGAACTAAAAGTTTCATGTTCATAATATGGATACGGAGCAAGCAGTCTTGTTCCCCACTACACTATAAGTATGTGTGGACCCTGCCTGCGTCTACTTCTACGGAAAGCGTCAAAGCGTCAAAGCGTGGGTCACTTCCCTCCACCAACTTTACAGAGATGGACATAGTCGCCCTCTGATGTTCTGATGTTAGCCACCTTGCCGCCTAGCAGGACCTCGTTGAGTATCCTGAATGGACTTTGTAACACTGCATGTCTTCGTTTTAAGCATCCTAAGGACCATCTTCTATTTCATCGTCCTCGGAATCGCTGGGCTGGATCCCTGCTACCGAAATAGAGACTCCCCTCTCCTCTCAAATGCCTGAACAGTCAGACGACCCATCAGACCCGCCCGACGCAAAGAACACGCTGCCTCACTCGGACAATACTACTGATGAGGGTTCTGGTCATGCTTCCACAATGGGATCATCGAAGGCGCCAGTGGAGTACGATGATTTCGGTTTACCTGTAAGGGAACATCGAAGACCCACAGACGACGTCAATTTGGAATCACCTAAGGCCACTGTAGAGGAGAAATTGAATAAAATTACAGTGGAAGATAAACATCTACAACAAGGGCAGTCTGTAGTGGCAATGTGCAAGAACCAGGACAAGGTGGTAGGCAAAAGATCGGTTGCGCATGTCAATGACAATGGTCATAGGCGCAAGCAATCAGCCACAAAGTCCATTGATTCATCGCTAGAGCATGTTCGCAAAGAATCTCAAAACCGTAATCCACCTCTATTTGCAGAGAACGATGGGACTCGTGCTACCTTTACCGTCTCAGAATTTTCCCACCAACAATTAGCACCACAGCCTGTAAAAGAGGAGGACGCCGAGAAAGAAGACGAGTGGCAAACTATGCCTTCATATGCACCATTCGACATTTACAATGATGACAACAAGCTTGTGGCACGAGAGCATGTTGAAGATGACGATGAAGCCATTGCCTACGCTGGACTTGGAGGAGCTGGGAAAGGATATACTCGAGTTCAAATAGATGAAGATGCGCAATCTGCAACGAGTATGGATGATCAAACAGCCTACCTGTTTACCAGGCACCAAACTACTGATCTGCTCGACGATGACGAAGAAGCCCGAGATCCGTTAGCACAGATGGAGGCTACCAAGGATTTACTTACAGAGGGCCAAAGGATAGCCTATGTTGGGCTTGTGCGCCTTGCTATGATAGCGATGGAGAAGGATTTGAGTAATATGGAACGAACCAGAGCGACTAAGAAGATTATTGACATTGCGGTCGAGTCATTGAAAATGTGGAGTCAGAAAATGATGGTTCGTTTATACAGCCATATGGAAATCGATTCGTCAGGTGAGCATCGCAAATAAATATAACCTTTGGTCAACTGACGATATTCTCAGAACAGATTATGATTGAACAGCTTGCTGAGCACGGCGTGGAGGCAGGAGACTTGACACCATCGCTCATGATCAACGCGCGCGTGAAGAACCCTGTCGTCGAAGAAGAGAAAGGCGATTCATCTGTCGCCGGAACGTGCAATCCTTCCGACGACGTTGCATCAGCGCAATCAGCATTACCGAAGCTGTCACATCCACTAGCAGATAGTGAAGACGACGAAGACGAGCCTTTACCATCGTACGACCAGCATAAGAACGATGAACTACCCGAAGTTCGGACACTGTCACAGCTACCAACAACCAAGAAACTTGACATTGATTTGAGGTGGACTGTACTCTGTGATCTGTTCTTGGTACTCATTGCAGACTCTGTCTATGATTCAAGGTCTCGCGAGCTTCTCGAGCTTGTTGGAAAGTCGCTCGAGGTCCATTGGCTTGAGATATATCGTTTCGAAAAGCGCGTGGTAGACGCTCTTGAGATGCAAGAGAGGGCGAATAAGGAAAATTGGAACGAAGACGAGCATCTCATTAGTCGAGAAAAGCGAGCAAGAAATCGCCGGCTTGCTATGATGGGTCTTGCTACAGTAGGAGGTGGTCTTGTTATCGGTCTTTCGGCAGGTCTCCTCGCACCTGTTATCGGTGCTGGCCTCGCAGCAGGGTTTACTACGATTGGGATCAGTGGCACATCGGCTGTCTTAACGAGTACTGCTGCTGCTGCTGCCATCACAACCGGAGCAACTGTGACTGGCGGAACCATTGGCGTTCGGGCCGCAAGTAGGCGTACTGGTGCAGTCAAAACATTCGAGTACAGACCTCTACATAATAACAAAAGGGTCAATCTCATTGTGACTGTCTCTGGTTGGATGAACGGCAAGGTCGACGACGTTCGCCTACCTTATAGTACCGTGGATCCGATCATGGGTGATATATACTCCGTTCTCTGGGAACCCGAAATGCTGCGCAGTATGGGCGACACTATCAACATTCTGGCCACTGAGGCCTTGACTCAAGGTCTACAACAGATTCTTGGAAGTACCATCCTGGTTGCATTGATGGCATCACTACAAGCACCTATTGTCTTGACCAAACTGTCATATTTGATTGACAATCCATGGTCCGTTTCAGTCGCAAGATCTGATGCAGCTGGACTCATCCTTGCCGATTCGTTAATTGATCGAAATCTTGGTATTCGCCCTATTACATTAGTAGGATTCTCAATCGGTTCGCGTGTCATCTTCAGTGCGCTGAAAGAGCTCGCAAACAAGGGCGCGTACGGCCTCGTCCAGAACGTCTTCTTGTTCGGTTCTCCTGTGATTGCTAAAAAGGATGAATACCTGAAAGCAAAGTCGGTCGTCAGTGGCCGATTCGTTAACGGCTACGCTACAAACGACTGGATATTAGGTACGTTCCTGTTGTCGCTACGTAAAAACTGCTAACGAAGGAATAGGATATCTTTTCAGAGCAACAGGGGGAGGTATCATGCGCGTGGCAGGTCTCGCCCCGGTGGATATACCCGGCATAGAGAACATTGATGTCACACAATTTGTGCCCGGACACATGTCGTACCGTACAGCAATGCCCAAGCTACTCCGAGAGGTTGGGTTCCTCGTGGAAAGTGACGAGTTCACTGAGATAGAGGATCCCGATCCAGAAAACCATGAGCAGCGACAGCGTGAGCTGATCAATGAGATTGAGGAAGCACGCAAAAACTTTGAGAAGAAGCCTCAGAAGAAGGGTTTTTGGTCCTTTCGATCAAAGAAAAAGCTCGAGAAGAAAGACTGGGAGATGTATGAGGATAAGAACGTGCCAGTAGATTCGGAAGCGAGATCTGGACCATCAGACCATGGCGGACTGGTTTTATTCGACATCGAAGCAATTCAGCGTGAAGTCGCTGAACTTGCCGCCGACGGAGTGGAGATCCGGGAAATCGAATCCACTCTACCGCCAATGAAAATTGACATGAATGAACCTAGAACCCTACCTGCTAAGGCGTTGATACTTCAAGAAACGAAAAGCCACACCGATAGCATTGGTATGAACAACGAAGCGGCTAGCAGTGCACCAAATCTAGCTGATAAGAGGAATACTACGCCACCAAAACCTAGTCAATACGATTATGTGGAATCTGAACACACCGAGCAGAGTTTTGCCAAGACTTTTGATATGTCATACACAGCATCGTCGAAGCATTCTGGCTTGTCACCGCCCGTGTTAGGAATGAATACACCATCAGGAGAGAATCTGCCTACGTTAAAACCCTCAGGTGAACGACCACCGCTGAAGACCATTAAGACTACACCGGCAGCAGTCAGCCTGGATCACAATGCTTGGGCAGATGAGGATGACTTTGCAGAGAGTGAAATTAGCATGACGTTCGAATAGAGAACCGAAAGGTTGCATTGTAAGGCGTTGAATTGGGAGGGAGAACTAGTGTGGCATTGATGGCGTTTGATAACAAACTCGGCGGCCGATATGGCTGGAAGAATTTTGAGCACGTGGATGCGATGGTGGTAACATATCTATACCTATGGCCTCAGTAATCTTCTTATAATCACCCTTTTCATCACAGTTCAACTTCGTGGCATTGTTTAACATGTGGACAGCATCGTATGTCTCATTTCTGAGCGCACGTGTCTCGTCCGTAGGTCTCAGTCGGGAGGACATTAATCATGAGACTAACCCCTCCCGAGTTTGTTAGACTTCATCCATAAATTGAGAGCCTCCGGGAGCCCTTATGTGAGCCCCTGGGCTGAAACTCTGCGGGGTGAGGCTCCTATCTAGCACATCCATGACTGTAGTCGCCAACTCTACCGCCTCGATATCACGGGTAGTTGCGTCTGCTGGAGCCGTTCCAAGCCGCTGATGAATATCGGTATTGGATAAAGGGCCGTTACCTTCATGGAAAACCATGGCTTCTCTCCGTCTCCTCCTCAACGTCTGCTCTGCTTCACTTGCATCATGTTGCCTGCTATGTGCGCTTATTGGGACAGGTAGATGCACACCCGATGGGTCTGGTAGGCCCAAGCTACTTGACATATACGGTGAATGTGCAGCACGTTCATAAGACCGCCTCTCAAAGATTGAATATCCACCAGTATTATTCTCTTCTAGCATAAGCCGAGTCTTAGTTGCGCGTTGGCGTACTAGGCGGTCGGTTGATATGAGGTCAGAGGCTAGCGCTCGCATGCAAGACTTTGAGCGGGAGAACCGATCACAGAGTAGGGTCGTGGCGGCTTGTGCGATTTCGACATTGGAAGATTTTGCGAGGGTGACAAGCGACTTGATTTGAATGGAATCGGCAGCAGAAACTTCTGGTGTAGACGAACGGTTGTGCGGATTTTTATTAGGCTTGTAGATCGCAGTGACGCGAACAACTTCGTGCAGACCGTACGAGATACCTTTGACTGCCATGAAGGCGAGAATCCCTGCGAGCATCAGATGTATATCGAAAAGCTTAACATAGCGCATGCAGTACCCACTCCAAACCAGAGCCATCGGTCGCTGACTTTGGACATGATGCACTTGGGTACGTTGGGTTTGAAATTGTTCCTCCGAAAGCGATGCTCTACTCTATAACTAGTAGACTCCCTAAACCGTGCGCCTAGACATCGGCAGCAAGAGGGTGTAAGTAACAAGAGCAATCGCAACTTAGTATGTAGTAATTAATTAAATAGATCCGTAGTACCACAATTCATAGCGTGCCAGAATCTACAGTGTCTATCGACCAACATGGATGCAATGTGGGATCTTTAAATTTTTCGTAAGCTCTTCACCAGCACCTCCGCGACTCTCCACACACACACACGACAACTGTGCCATGCCTCCCTCTCAACTGAAAAGACTCAAGACTTCTCTGCATGAGAAGGGAATACTCGGTCCTCAAAAATCGAAAAAGCAGAAGAAAAACCAAAGCAAGAACGGTGAGAACGAGTTTGGGCGGGCAAAGCGCAATGCCGCCCTCGCGGAGATACGTGAGGTTTTCAATCCCTTCGACGTCAAGGCACTTGCAAGGCCTAAGAAGTTTGAAGCCACGACGCTGAATCGCTCGAAGACAAAAGGCAATGACGGCATCATTGGAAGACCGGGTGTCACGAAAGGCTTTGGCGAAGAGACTGTAAGTCAAGGCTATCAGGCTTCAGAACCAGCCTAATAGTATATTGTGTAGAGGCGAGCTACCCTTCTGCCAGAGCTTAATCGCCGGAATAAAGTTGGCGGCATAAATGATCGTCGCTTTGGCGAAAACGACCCTACAATGACACCAGAAGAGCGTGCTATGAAACGGTTCATACGTGAGAAACAGAGAGGAAGAGGTGCTTCTATGTTTGACCTAGAGGAAGCGGAAGATGGTGAAGAATGTGGTCTCACTCACGGTGGCAAGGCACTGAACTTAGGTAATGATATCAGCGATCAAGATGACTTCGATGCTCGAAGTCTCGATGGACCTAGCAGCTCAGAAGAAGATGGCACAAAGCCTCGCAAGAGGCGTCTATCCATTATCGAAGATGGAGAATACGGAACGCAAGGCATGGGAGAGCAGCCAGAGCGGAAGAAATCAAAGGCTGAGGTCATGAAAGAGGTCATTGCAAAGTCTAAGCTACATAAATACGAGCGTCAACAGGCCAAGGATGAAGACGAAGAGGAGCGCGAGAAACTTGATGAAGATTTACCAGTTCTGCTGTCGATTCTTAGAGGCCGGCAACCTCCAGCTAAGTCCACACAGTATCCCACCCAAGAGGGTGCTTCCATAGATCCTGGTAGAAAGGCACTCCTCGCTCAAGTGCAAATGGATGCCGAGAAGGACTTCGACAGGCGTGTGAGAGATCTAGCTAGGGATAAGAAAGCACAGCCCACCGAGCGAACGAAGACTGAAGAGGAGAAGGCTATTGCGGAGGCGTTGCGTCTCAAGGATATGGAACAGAGACGGTTGCGTAGGATGAGAGGCGAGATCGAATCCGACGACGAAGACGATAGATATAAAAAGGCCAAGGATAGGGGTGATACAGACGTTCGGGAAGAGGAGGGCCTCTTGGATGATGCGGAAGCGTTTGGTATCACCCGGAGAGAGCAGTTACAGCAAAGTCATGGCGTTGAAGATGAGGACGATTTCTTATTAGACGATGACCTAATAGCCACTGGGTCCGACCTCGAATCGGATCAAGTCTGGAGCGACGACAGCGACGTCTCCGAATCAGAGCATTCGAGCCAGGAAGACGAGGACAATGATGACGAATTTATCCGAGGACTTCTCCCCAAACAGAGTACAGACGCAGATAGTACAGATCTGAAGCCAGGTCTAAATTCTGTAAACTCATCGAGTTCAAAATTAGCATATACTTATGCATGCCCGACCTCGCATGCAGAGCTTTTGGAGATTTTCAATGATGTCGCCATAAAAGATGCACCAACGGTAGTGCAGAGGATTCGTTCTCTTTACCATCCCCAGCTGAGCGACCAGAATACCGCCAAACTTTCAGCGTTCTCCATGGCTTTGGTCGACCACTTGTTTTACTTGGGCAATCAGAAGCCACCTGCGCCGCTCGCAGTCATTGACGCGCTGATAAGGCACTTGCATTCACTTTCAAGGCAATTCGCTGAAGACATTGGGCAGCAATTCCGAAGGAAGCTCAGTGACATGCAACGAGACGAGTTCCCTACCCCGGGAGATTTGATTCTTCTGACTGCTATTGGGACCATATACCCAACATCAGATCACTTCCACCAAATCGTCACCCCAGCCATTACTATAATCGCAAAATGGTTGAATTATAACACCCCTAGAACCGTGGAAGACCTCAACTCGGGGGCTTATATGTGTACTCTGGTTCTGCAGTATCAAAGGCTTTCGAAAAGATACGTACCTGAACTTCTCAATTTTTGCATCAAGGCTTTGGAAAGTGATATGGTCGCTCGTGAGCATATCAATTGCTACACTAATATCCTAATCGAGGCAGCCGATTTATGGTCATCGAAATTGGCTTTGACCGACATCTTCTCTCCTACGGTCACTGCACTTCTCCAACGCCACAAGCAACAATCCGCTCTCCAACGCCTTCAACTATATCTCAATTACGCTCGCGTTGCTCGGCGGCCGTTGGAACTACACCACCACCGGCCTATCCCAATCAAGTCCCAAATCCCTAGCTTCGAGGAATCGTTCAATCCGAATAAGCACTACGATCCTAACCGTGAGCGTGCTGAAGCCAGCAAGCTCAAGGCAGAGTATAAGAAGGAGCGCAAGGGTGCACTACGCGAGCTTCGTAAAGACGCAAACTTCATTGCTAGGACCAAGCTGCGGGAGAAGAAGGAGGCTGATGTTGCGTATGAGGCCAAGTACAAGAAGCTTATCGCTAGTATTCAAACCGAGGAAGGCGCAGAGGCGAATCAGTATGACAGGATCAAACGAGCAAGGAAAAGTAATCGGTAAACTAGTGTGTTTCTCATACGACTACCAAGAGGTTGACTGGCTTTTGAGACGTCCCTATCTGTAAATAATTCAAGCCTATGGATGTTATTGAAATGACTCAGGCCAGTGTAGGAAGTAGCGTTTGAGTTAGATTGCCTATAACAGAGAGCCAAGATAATCGCGATGGTTAGTTAATCCATGTCTTTATTACTAAGAACCTTACTTCTAAAGTCTATTAAGATAGGTAAGTGATACCTTATAAGAAGATATTAGTATAGAAGGTATATTCCCTACCTATCTTAATAGATTTCGATATGGTTATAAGCTTACCCTACGCCAGGAGATCCTAGTAATCGCATGTCGCTACCTTAACTATAACGATAGACAATGGTTAAGAAGGTCCATCGACATTGAAGTGAAAGGCAAATGATAAGAACATGCTCGGCTCGAAACATCCAAGAAAAGGGTAGCCATATCGGCTCCCACTGATAATCAATTCGATAATCCTCTACGAAGAGGATAATAGCGGAACCATCGAAACTTGCTCTTTCGCGAATATCTTATATGCTAGCTGGTCGAATATCGATACAGTCCTTGGCAATAAGACGCTTCAAAGAGCTGGAGAACGGCGTCAACCAGTGGGAATTTTTGTGATTGATGACCGAATTGATTGATCGACATTAAAATAAGAGGAAACAATGGCGTATACTGCGGAATCATGTCCGCACGATTTTTGGTTGACTTTAAAACCATATTTTAGAGCACTTCAAATACTCATTCCAAATATTCTATGGAGAGGTATGAACATTGGCCGATCTTTATAGGTCTTACACGTCCTGTTTGGCGAAGACTTCCAGGCTGACCCAGTCCGACAATAAGATAAAACGTGTATTTCATACATACCCTCCTTATGAATTGTCCCTTTAGAAGCAAGCAACAAGCGAAGAACATACTAATGGACTGATTTTTACTCCAGCTCAAAAGACTTGAAAACATCAGTATAAAAACCGATTCTGCCCTCGAGATATAACCAAATTGCATGGGCTAAACTCTGGGTGTTCCAATGATCGAGCACTGTAGAGAGTTTAGAATCAAGCTGTCGCACGCGCTCCCATGTTTGGATAACTTCGATATATCTTTTCCGTTCAGCGAGTAATTCCCGATCTGACTCCGTCTCATTATAGAGGGGCCCGTCCATTACAGGTGGCACAATAGATAAATCTTTGATGAATTCGACCATCTCCCATGGAGCAACAATCGTATTCTCCCAATCAATTACACTTTGTATGCAGCACATGGAATCCACAAGAATATTGCTTGTGTAGAGGTCTGTATGAATTATCGGAAAAGGCCCCTCCTGAAATGAATGGTGCTTTGCGAATTTGGCGAGTTGTGATGGAAAGTCTCGAATTGATATCAAAATCCGATCTACGAGATTGGAGGGTGTCCGTGCTCGAATTGTACTCTCACTGTAGGGAAACTTCGCACATTTCGCCCAAGCTTCGAAAAAGTCTGCGGCTGAGTCGAACGGTCCCCCAATTCTAGGGATTGGTCCGACTGAGTACTCTCCATTGGAAAGTTTGATAATACTTCCAATTTTTGGAAATCGTACTGACGCCAATTCGACCTATTCTTTGTTAGCCAACTGTCAAGGGAACGACCTGCTACACACCTGAATTTTAGCCATCCCAGTATAAAATTTCCTCCTAAAAGGAGCAGGGATTTTGCCTCTGTGTACAGGCCATCCTCCAAATGAATCCATGGCGGTGTCCGCTGGAACGAATTCCATGATCATGAAGGCAACACCTACAGCATTATCATCGCTCGCCTCGTACGTGAACAGTTCCGGAACAGGGATTCTAGATCGTTCTCGGATGACCTGAATTGTGTGGACTTCATTTAACAACCGTTCTAGTGATTCAGGAGTGGCTTTCTGGAGCTGTAGACGTGCTACCCAAGTTGTTCCATCCTGAAAGTCGAGCCGCCGAACCACGTGTAGTCCACCCATGTTGTATTCGGCAGAGACGTTGCAGGTTATTTCGCCGTCGTAATTAGACCTTTTACGCTTGAAGCTAATCGCGTATTCCTCCAGGGCCTTCCAATCGATGGGAGACGGTAAGCATTCCGAGTCAATGTTTGTTTTCCAGTTTAGTCGTGCTTCCCTTAAAACTACTTGTTGAGACGTCATGATACAGCATTCTTTTGCGCGGTAAAAGGTTGCTTTATGTGAAAATTATTGTTGGTGTTGGTAATAACCAATATTCCTTTTCTCCTTTTCAAAGGGTCGAGCCAAAACCCAAGGTAACTAGGCCATGACGGTCACAAATCCACAATACAATACTTGTGCTCTGTGATCTGTGATCTGTGTTCTGTGATCTGTAATCTGTGTTCTATGATCTGTGTTCTGTGTTCTATGTTCTATCCGTTTGTCCATAGTTACATGAGAAAGCTTGGCAGTCGGTGCACGCTCATGTCGCGCGCACACGTTTTATTAGTATATATAATATTTTATAATATTATTAATAATTACTATATATATTTATAAAAATACTACTATATATTAGTTTTATACTATATTAGCTATATATTAGTATTTTTTTAAGTATTTTATAATATCTATTATACCTTCTAAGTTAAGGAACTTCTTATATCCTAAGAGACTAAATAGATTAATCCGAGGTAATACAGCGATTTATATATATTAATTAATAGAGTATACCGAGTATAATAACCTCTAATATATATAAAGTATATAAAACGTAATATTACTAATATATAGAGATACTAAATATATATACTTAAAAACTCTTTAAAGATATAAGTATAGACTACTACTACTAAATACTAATATACTAACTCCCTTTTTATTAGTTAAGAATAGCTATTATAGAAATATAATATATATATAAATATAAGAGTATTTATAGAATATAGTAAGTTTAATAAGAAAGAATACTAGAGTTTACTTAGCTTTCTTAAGATATAGAATAGAGTATACTATTAAAAAGAAACTTACTTAGCCTTATTAAGTAAGAAGAGAGTAGTAGTATAGATATAGTACGCTAGTATTAAGTATATCTAGAGTCTACTCTTAATATTATTCTCTTTCTCTATCTCTTTATTATTAGAGTCTATTCTAGTAATAGACTACTTATAAGTAAGTATTATCTAGCTTATTAATACTAGCCTTCTAGGAAACTATTTTTTTAAAGCTACTCTCTTATACTTACTTATTATAGTAGTAATTACTATTAACTTATAGTAATAGTTATTATTATATATAATACTCTCTAATATAGGCCTTAGCGACTAGACTTAATATCTACTATTAGATTATAGTATATATACCTTCTATTAAAAGAATCTACCTATTAAATCTATTATAGATTATTTATAGGCCAGGTGGCGTAGTGGTAGTATGCTACGTTACTAGAAGCGTTTGTCATCCAACGTCGTGGGTTCGAATCCTATAACGGCCATCTTTTCACACACTAGTTTTCGCACGCTCTATTAAAAAGTGTGCGGGGCTAAGCGAGTACGTGACGTGAAGGTTACTATTACATGACTACTTAGTCCTAAGCGACCATTAGGTAATGTGAAAATGACTATACCGTTATTATATAATAAGAATTACCTAATATAGCTACCTACTAAGCCACCTTAAGTGGTAGAGCGACGCCTAGAGCGGCTAGACCTATAACTAGCTTAGCTCGAATCATAGAATTTTCACTATATACCGGGGCCTTATCTACTCTAATCCGGCTTAGCTTATGCTTACTCCGGCTCGGTAACCATAAAATAGATAGTAATACCTAATTAAGTATCCCGCCTACCCATAGACGATTATATAGCCCCGAAGAATAATTTCCGAATTCGGCCTAGCTAGGGTTAGTACTAAGGCATGGACCTATTAGATATACACCCCCTCTAGCATTAGTTATCTTAATTAATAACTACTACCCGGCGTAAAGCTATATTCCCATAGATAGGAAAAAAACACGGTAATATAGGAATAAAAGACTAGGCCTAGCCTAGCGACCTACCTAACCATAAGAAAGGTAATACCTACTATAGTTGGTTAGGGCGTTATTAAGAGCCGGTACTAATATAGTAATAAAAGCCTAATATAAGGATAAGAAGTAAGTTTATCACCTAATGGGATTCGAGGACTTAGACTAGGCTAGGTTAGGTTAGTAATAGGGTCTAGTTAGGGAGCCAATCATAGGAGGTTTTCTTATATACATAGTAGCTAATACTAGAGGAGGCCTGAGCCTGTGGAGCATATATATGGCTATATATATAGTTCTTCCTAGTTAAACACTAATATTATTATTATAGATTATTTATAGAAGATAGTTTAATTTCTAGGTTAGTAGCTTCTTTTATATCTATATTCTCTAGTACTAGATAAATAACTATTCTTCTATAAATAACTTCTAATATAATAGTATCTATTATTATATTAGTAGTAATAATTATTACTATAGAATAGTAGTAATCTCTATTATTACTATATATAGTACTTTCTATAAGCTAGACTACTTAGACTTAATATATATATTTATATAGTAAGTCTAGTAAAATTCCACTAGCTATACTATCTATATATCTACTTTAATTTAGCTCTATATCTTCTTAGACCTTAGCTCTATACCTTCTTAGACCTTAGATCTATTATTAAGTATAAAGAAGAAAGAGTTTAGTTCTTTAATTAAGAACTAATTTTATATTAATCTATCTATACTAGGTACTTCTTAGTTAATAGAGTATCTATTATTATATATACTAGAACCCTTTACTTATCTATTAAGAGTATATAAATAAGAGTTATTTATATATGTTAGAGTTATATATAAATAGATACTTATATATTATAGATATCTTATTTATAATATTCTATTTATAAAGGTCTATTTATAATTTTAAGGGGAAGTTTAATAAGGTATTTATATATATAAATAGAAAAAAAACTTCTTTATACCCTAAGAGACTAAATGTAAGGAGGCGGGCTCCACGCACCAACCAACTACACCAAAAGGACCGAATCTTGAAGCTACTGCTTCAAGGGTAGAGCACACTACTTATATACGACTACTGCACACATGTAGAATTAACTAGCAGGCCACGTGCCTAACAATATCTCCCCTTTTCGAAGGCGCGTGTCCTTACGCGTCGTGGGCATACTACCTTACGAAAGATAAACTAAACTAGCCGTAACGGGCCTAGTATAAATGATATACACACACAACCAATACTCGTAATGCCGCCTCTAGTACTAGACACGCTAACTTACCGTAGTAACGTTACTACCATGTTATCCGTCACGTGTATAAAGTACACGTGACGTAGTAAGCTAAACGGAATCATGTAAAATTTAATAATAGTTAACTAGACCGAGAGTTAAACCCGTGGCCCCATAGTAGCTTTAAGATTATATAAGGAGGCGGGCTCTATATACTAACCAACTATACCAAAAGGACCGAATCTTAAAGCTACTGCTTTAAGGGTGGAGTACACTACTTATATACGACTACTATATACATGTAGAATCAACTAGCAGGCCACGTGTCTAACACTAAACTAGTTAACTTAGGGTAATATAATAATCTATATATATTAATTAATAGAGTATACTAAGTATAATAACCTCTAATATATATATATATATAGTATATAAGATATAATAATACTAATATATAGAGATACTATATATATATACTTAAAAACTCTTTAAAGATATAAGTATAGACTACTACTACTACTAAATACTAATATACTAACTCTCTTTTTATTAGTTAAGGGTAGCCCTTAACTAATAACTATAGAGGCCTTAGATACTAATATACTCTAGTATAAGGATTATAGACGTAGGATAGTAGTCTAATAGATCATAGGAGGATTCGGGAATATATTTAAAAGGGTAGTCTACTCTCCTAATAAGGTTAATTCCTAAAGAGTAGGAATTAAGTATATGCGGCCTACTTATATAGTAGTCTCACTTATTCTAGCTAGATTACCCTAGGTCCACCTATTACGGACTATACTAGACTATAGTATTCTAGTTAAGTCTATCCTAGTATTAGCCCTAATAATATCCTTCTTCTTTTTATACTTTGCCCCGAAGTACTTAGCTATATATAAATCTATAATTCTATAAGCGTTATATTTATACGCATATCTAATTAAATCTATATAACGTTATTAATAGTCTTTATATTAGTAAACTTAAGCTCTAGTTTACTTTTATTTATATACGCGCTTATCCCTTACTTTATAGCTACTACCTTAGAGGTAGCTCCGTGGGTTATATAACCACTATATTAACTAAGCTTATATTTAGTTCTCTTATTCTAAATTTTCTTCTCTAGTATATCTATCTTACTCTTAAGGTAAGTCATTAATTTATATACTATCTTCTTTAGTTTAGATCCGTTCGGGTCTAGAGTAGTCTATTTTTATTAGAGCTAGTCCTATATAATCTATTCGCGTTATTACGGTTACTAATTTAGCTTCTTTAATCGTCTTTAAGACTAAACGAGTATTCTACTCTTAGATCTCTAGCTAACATATATATATAGATATCTAATACTAGTCCTATTTCTAAGCCTACCTCCTCCTCTTATAAGACTCGCTCTAAAGGGATTACCTCTACCTCGGCTATACCGGCTAAAAAATCTACTTATTATAGTAGTATAAAGGCGCGCTCTAAGTTAGAGAAGAAGGTAGCTAAGGCTACTACTACTATTACTACTAACGTAGCTACTAGTTACTCTAATCTAGGTAATCCTAGTACTAGTATTACGGAAGAGATAGCTATAAAGCCTACCTATATCTACTCGCGCCGTCTATCTACTCTATCTCCTTTAGAGGATAAAGAAGATCTCGTTATAGATAATAATTAAGAGTTTACACCTTTACCGCCTCGCTCTAAATACCGTTCCTCTTTTCGGTCTAATATAGACTAACTTAGTTACTCTAGGTCCTTTTAGGACCTTAATATTTACTCTAAATCTAGCCCTAGTAATAATAAGGCCTAGGTCGCCGAAGATACTAAACGTAGTCGTGGTTTACGCCATAGAAAAACGGCGAACTATAGTTTAATATACTTTAAGTATATTAAGACTTACGCTACTAGCTCTAAATATCTCTTCCGCTCTAACTCTAGTATTAGCTACTACTCTACTAACCGCGACGGGCCTATATATCTAATCTTTAAGCTTCCTACCCGCTACCACCGCTATACTATCCTTAGTAAAGTTTATCTTTAGATAAGTCTATTAGACTATTTTAATCTAGGGTAATCTAAAGTTATCTATACTAATACGTTTTTAGATTTCTATTTGTGTATAAGATATATATAACGATCTTCGCGTCCGCGAGACTCTTAGCGGTTCTAGCGGTTATCTA